CAAGTTTTGAAGGATAACTTCCTTTTGGTTTGTGTATTCTTCCAGAAAGTGTGAATTAGGTAGGCATTAAACTGTGAACCGAACTGAATTTCCCCCATCCCCTGACGATGGCATTCCGTATTTACTCACAAAACATCTGTCAACCACATGTTACCATGGCAACTGAGCACAGCATGCAGCAAGATGCCTGCGCTGGATGTTTGCCAATATATTTCCCCCTCAGCATCCATCTTTGGCATTCTTTAGGGCTGTGAAGCAGTATGGTTAGTTGACTACAAGCCATGCCTTACTGGAAAAACAATCATAGCTCCTCATTTCCAGAGGGAGGGAGAAGAAAAACCAAGCTCACAACTCTGTTATGCTGTTTTTGTTTGTTTGTTTGTTTGTTTGTTTGTTTGTTTGTTTGTTTTTATTTAACAAAATTTATATACCACTTGATATTTTTAATAAAAAAACCACACACACACTTCTAAGTGGATGACAAAAACAAAACATTAACACTATTGATTTTAAAAAGTTACAAACAACTGTTCGAAAACGCTCAAAAGATTATTAAAATCAATAGTAACCAAAGAGAGATAAAACCCATGCAACGTCTACATGACTGGATAGGCTCACCTAAACAAAAGTAACTAACAAATTCAATAAATAAACCAAGAAAAATGTTTTAAGCAGGCACCAAAATAAATACAGCACAGGAGCCTGCCTGATGTCAGTGGAATCTTGTGAGTGGATATGGAAGTCACCCAGCAGTATCACCTTGAGATCCCCTAACACAACACCAGAGACTCCCTCAGCCAGCTTGGGCAGGGATGCAGCTGAGGAACAGGGTTGCTGCTGGATTGATTGACCAGCAGCCTCCTCAGCACATCTGGGATGGATGGACATTGTTTTCCAGGTGAGCAGATGAGTGGTGGAAGCTGTCATTCCATCTTCTCACTGTAACCTTTCCCCCCTTGCATCAGAATGGGTACCATGGGCTAGGGCAGGGGTCAGTAACCTTTTTCAGCCATGGGCCGGTCCACCGTCCCTCAGACCATGTTGTGGGCTGGACAATATTGGGGGGTGGGATGAACGAATTCCTATGCCCCACAAATAACCCAGAGATGCATTTTAAATAAAAGCACACATTCTACTCATGTGAAAACACCAGGCAGGCCCCACAAATAATCCAGAGATGCATTTTAAATAAAAGCACACATTCTACTCGGTGGGCCGGATTGAGAAGGCGATTGGACCGCATCCGGCCCCCGGGCCTTAGTTTGCCTACCCCTGGGCTAGGGCCTTGCAGTTCTTGATTCTGTAAATCCATGACAGACTGCTGGAACGTCCTACAACTTTCTTTTCAACCTGCGGGAAGAGAAAAACAGCAGCACCATACACACATGTGCTGCATCTCCTGGCTTTTTAAGGCCAGGAAAGGAAGCATGTGCGCATGGTACTCACTCTTTTGACATTTGGGTTTCAGTAACTGATAACTGTATGTGTGTTAGAGGGTGACTTTTTTTTCTTCTCAGACTGTACCATGTTTGTATATTATCAGCAAACTTCAGTATTGAGGATCAATTTTGTTTTTCACTAGAACCCCGAGGGTGCTGATAATGCCAAGGTTTCAGGTTCGATCCCCATTCCTGCATTGCAGGGGGCTGGACTAGATGATCCTCAGGGTCCCTTCCAGTGCTAAGATCTTCCTAAAAAATAAAGATGACACAAAATTATTTCCTGGTGTTCCTCTTTGCCCCCCCCCTTTTTTTAAGGGATTGCATTATTTGCATACTCTAAAACCAATTGCAAGGTTTTTATTTATTTTGCAGATAAGAAAATATGCCGAGTGTGACCTACCGGTATATTCGTTGTAGATGGCTGCTGTGGTAGCAGCCCTTCCAAACCTATTTATGGAGCTGGAACTTTCCTCTTCTTTTAAATTGTTGCAGGTGAAACAAGGAGCATGTAATTGCAGCACCCTCTCCAGGACAGATCAAGAATTTCATTCTCCTGCTGATTTGTGGGGCGTGAGTGTTTAAAGTTTGGCAGGGCAGATGAGAATTTCAAAACTTTGTTTATTGCTGGAATGTCTTAAATAGTTATTATATATAATAATATTATCATTTTTAAAGCTGCAATCCTAAACACAATTACTATGGAGTAATTTACTAGTGGAGTAAACATCTGAGTGAATGCATAGGATTGTAGCAGTAAGTATTGCTACGTATCCTCAGATGTCGAAATGTGCTGAACTAAAAATCTAAGACTGCTAGCCGAACTACAGTAACTCAGAAAAAGCTGAACAGGAGAAACATAATACATATTTATTTTTTACATCTATATTGTTGAGGGTTGGTGGGGTGTCAGTCTGGATGGTGCCCTGAGCCCCTTCCAATTCTTGGGATCCTGTGCCCAGTCGGGGGTTAGATTCTTAGAATCTACCAGAGGAGGTTGCTGAACTTATCAGATTGAGGGAAGCCAATGGGTTTAAAACCCTGAGTGAGTGAGACAGTTCCCCTGCAGGCAAAAACAGGCTCTGGAAGATTGAGCAGACAAAACCAAGAGTGGATCCAACAGTCAAGAAGGCAGTTTCTGCATGTGCTTAAGAGCAGGGGTAGGCAACCTAAGGCCCGGATGCGGCCCAATCGCCATCTCAATCTGGCCCACGGACAGTCTGGGAATCATTGTGTTTTTACATGAGTAGAATGTGTCCTTTTATTTATAATGCATCTCTGGGTTATTTGTGGGGCATAAGAATTTGTTCATTATTTTTTTCAAAATATAGTCCGGCCCACCACATGGTCTGAGGGACGGTCAGCTGAAAAACGTTGCTGACCCTTGCTTTAGAGGGAAGTGAGGGACAGGTGGGGCTCATCTACCTGGGAAGATATCCCATCTAGGAGAAGGGAAACTCTGATCCCAAACCCCTGCTACCTTGTGGGATATCTTTTGGAGAAGGAAAGGCTAAGGAGTAAACCCTACACAAATCTGAAGTAGAGTCCCTAAGATGGTTGGATGGCGGCTTGTATGCTTCCTTCTGGCAGCTCCTGTGGCCTATCTGGTGCCAAACATATTGCTCTGCTTTCCTTTGGACCACATCAGCAAGGCTGAGAAGGGGGTCTTGTCATCTAGGCAGCCCAGGACCTCCATGTTCACTTACCAGCCTTGCGGCCCATAGCTGTCACTTCAGTAGCTAACGCAGCTGAAATATACTCAGAGTCAAGAGTGGATTTCATGCTCTTTATTCAGCTCACAGTGGTGAGGAGAAGTGAAAGTTCCCCCAAATATACATTATATACATTATTTACACAGTGGGCTGCACATGATTGGCTAATTCCAGGATTCTCCTGTAGGCCAATCAGGTTGTGGATTCACTTCCATCTGGAGCTGGATTGGGTGGCTCCTGCGGACCAATCAGACTGCTGCATTCTGAATCCTATTGTTCTAGGACCGATCAGACTGCTGCATTTTGGATCCTATTCAACTCAGTACATAACAGCAGCGGTTTGACTTCACCCCCAGAGCTGCAAGATACAGTCTCAAGACACAGTTTTTAGGCAGAGTTGGCTAAAAATGGAGGCGTTCTTGCTACCTTTCAGAATCTTCTGGAAACCAAGCAGATTTTGTCTGCCACAGAAATCTGCGCCCAAAGTTTCCTTCCTTCTGTATATCACATTCAGTTGTTTCTTCCATATTTTAGGGGGAAATTGGCCTTTCTATCTACAGAGCATTAAACATTGGAAAGCAGATTCTACTGCTGTCTTGAGGAATGTTATCTCATGAATGAACCAGAAAGTTTTGCCATTAGTCATCGAATATTTACATAAAGTTAGGATGTTAATAACAGGTGTCCTGAAAATGTTCCCCAGTTTGTTGGCGTTACAGGAACTCCCCCCACCCCACCCCAAGGCACACAGCCTGTGTGGTATTTTTTTTCTAGCCCAGGCACATATAAATCTGTTACACAGGCCACAAACAATATTATTGCTTTGGTTTTAAAAATAAAGAAAAGAACTCCTTAAAAAATTGTAACTGGATACAAGTGCAAGCAGTGAACGTTTGGCTAACAGTAACTGACTGACAAATGCACTAACTCCAAGGAATTCTGGAATTCCGGCTGATGATCTAACATGATGTTCCAGGCTTAACAACCCCCTGTGGTGGGGAGTGAAACTAAGGCCAAGAAATTGCATCGGATGGAATTAAAGCAATCAGCGGCTCGGTCCAGAATTTCAGTTTGAATTCGCAGTTCCAAGTAAGCTGACAGCCTTTAAAAAGTAAATCAAGCCAAAAGCTTTTTTTTGGCCTTGTTTTGTTTATGCATTTGTGTTCATTCAGACATTTCAAGTCCATTGCAAACATGGCTGCCCCCCCCCCCCCACCCTGAAGTCCTGGGAACTGTAGTTGACCCCCCTCGCAGAGCTACAATTCCCAACACCTTTAACGAACTACGGTTCTCATTGTTCTTTTTGGGGAGGGAGTCATGTGCTTTAAATATGTGGTGTGTACACAGCCAAACAGGAGGAGCCTTGGAGTTTATAGATACCTACACATGCAGAAATAATCTTGCACTGATGGCGTGCTCTGGTCCATGGAGTCACGAAGAGTTGGACACGACTAAACGACTAAACAACAACAACAACGTTGTTTATTCCTTGTAGGAGAAGCCCATGTGGAGGGTGGCAACACGAGCACATGCCTTTTCTGCAATGGCTCCTTGCTTGTGGAAGGCTCTCTCCAGTGAGGCTCGCCTGTTGCCTCTATTACATATATTTACATACTGTACCGTCCAACTTTTGGGGACGGGAAAACAGGACATCCACGCGCTCTCCTGTCGTCCCCCCCCCCCCACCGCGCTCTCTTTCTCCGCCCCGCCCCCCTACACCCGAACCGCGCCCCTCCAGCTCATGCCGTTCCAAAGCCTCCCTCCTGCTCTCTTTGAATCTGCCTCCTCCGATGTGAACGACGGAACCCTCAGCCAATCAGCGGAGTACACATCCTCCCAGCCGCTCCTCCCTTTCGTTGGAAGCAATGTAGCCGGGGGCGTACCATGAACGGAATGGGAAGGGGGGGGAGAGAAAGAAGGAGAGGAAAGCAGCTGAGCTTTCGCTCCACTTATTTCCCCCGAAGTTCGAATCTCCGTGATTTGCCGTACCGCTTCCTAGGCGCGGAGGGAGCGAGGTAATCGGACGCCGGGGTGCTCCGTGAACGGCTGTCGTGATAAATGGTACGTTCCGCAGCTCCGGGCGGAAGTGGGTCTCTCCTTGGACCTTGGCGTGCGGAAGGCAGCGGCGGAAAAATGGCGGCCCCGGGTAAGGAGCGGCGCTGAGGTGGCGGCGTCGGCGTGGGGAAGGGGCTGCGGCCCTGTCGAAAAGGCGGCTTCTCTTCGCGCTTGCGGAGGGGCTGGACACCGAGGGGCGCAGGGTTCTCCTCAGGGAGGCCTCCGGAGGGGCCTTGGCACGGTCGGAGGGGCCGCTATGGCGCTTTGCCGTTAGGCTTGCGACCCTCTCATTGTCCCCAATACACACACGGGGGTGGGCAAGGCCGGTGAGGAGACTGCAGCGCTCCCTTGCCTTCCTATAAGCAGGTAGAAATGCAGCCGGTGAAGTTGGGTGGTAGGAAATAAGATATTCCTCTGCCGGATTTCTGCCTGTCGAAGACGAAAGGAGCCTTGCAGGGAAGCAGCCGGCTCGCGTTGAAATGCAAGCAAAGGGCTCTCTCTCCTCTCCCCCAATCCTGGATAATTTCTATCCTGCAGCATAGAATGAATGCTCTCGGAGGTCTACACTGGTGGCCCATCTGCCACATGGCCGAGCCCAAGGTGTTAACTCTGGGTATATGAGGCCCTTTACAGCTTGGGGGCAGTTTGCCTACCGGATTGCCCTCACCCATTTTGCAGCAGCTTCGAGCAGATGAACTGGCGCTTTTATTACAGGTATCACATACCTGCGCCGCATCTGGGTGACTTTAGTGTGGTGGCACTGACATTTTGGTCAGCTGACCAAGGGACCTTACTTCTCTTAACCTCCCTCACCACAGACTGGTAGAAAACAATGGCAGGATGAAAGTGGCATTGCATGAACACATATGCAAATATACAGTTATAGAGAACACATAAACCCTTATACATACATTAAAAAGGTAAAGGTTGATAAAAAGGAATGTAAGGCACAATCATGATATGTGCATCAAATTGTTTTGTTGATTGCACAGTTTGGTGGCCATGTGGTGGGACCTTCTATCTAAGGTGTCTGATTATAGCTAGATAGATAGCATAATCACCTGCTTCAGTAAAAAAAGCTATTCAGAAGGCTCAAGGGAGACATTAATGAAACACCTATTAAGGTTCCTACCTCTTTTTTCTTTATTTCCAGGGTATCTCACCATTTTCATCTTGAACTTAATATTTGTGGCCAGTTTACAGGCTCTGACTCCTAGCCATTATCTCACAAAACATGATCTTCAGAGGCTACGAGCTTCCTTGGAGCGTCCCTTTACTGATCTGGAAGGAAGTTATTACTCCATTGTAGGACTGAACAAATTAGGAGGGCAAGTGGCTGATGAAAAGGTAAGAATGTGTCATTGTGGAGTTCAGAAAGTTATCAGGCTATGAAGAACGAGCTGTAAGTATCTGTACATCGGTAAACCAGCATAGAATCTGTTTAACTCTGGCAGGTAATAGTTGCTTGGTTTGTTAAAGACATTCTCTGCTGCCTGTGCATTTGCAGAGCTCCTGAATCACAGTGCTATGTGGTAATATCAGGAGTATATCCTGTTTTATGTAAAGCAAGGATGGGAAATGTAGCACAAGTCTATGGTTGTGATTTTCTCTCTCTTTGTGTGACATGAAGAGAGCAGAGATTGGCAGATAACCACAAAAGAAACAGATTGAGAGAAAGAGAACTAAAACAGACAGTTGCCAGTGTGGTGTAGTGGTTAAGAGCGGTAGTCTTGCAATCTGGGGAACCGGGTTCGCATCTCTGCTCCTCCACATGCAGCAGCTGGGTGACCTTGGGCCAGTCACACTTCTCTGAAGTCTCTCAGCCCCACTCACCTCACAGAGTGTTTGTTGTGGGGGAGGAAGGGAAAGGAGAATGTTAGCCGCTTTGAGACTCCTTCGGGTAGTTATAAAGCGGGATATCAAATCCAAACTCTGCTGCTGCTGCTGCTGCTGCTGCTGCTGCTGCTGCTGCTTTGGAAATACAGTGCAGTATTATGATTGCTGCTCACTTTGGTTTGTTCCCTCTTCCAGAAGGAGAGGGTGTGTACGTAATGGCTTGGGTCCAAAGATACCCTTTTGCAAGCAGAAAGCCTCTTCTTTGGAAAAGTGTTCTCTGACAAAAGCAGCACAAACTTGTTCCATTTGAATAAGCTTTTGAACAAACATTCTCAAGACCTCTCTATAGCCTTTGAAAGTATGTATGCTACAGCCTTCACCATGTTTCCCAAATTCTGGCATTGCCCTCAATCGTTGTGCTGCACTGTGATAAATCTTTCGCTAGCTAGCTTGTGCAATAGTTCATAAAAAGCACATAAGCATTTTCTCCTTCTGCTTACAGATCTTTGGATCCAAGCCATTGGAGCTAGGTACAGGTGGCATGGGAAGCAGTGGCATCCAAAATTCAGAAGTCTTTCCTATGTTGCAATCAGTTATTTAGACACACAATCCTATTGAAATCATTGGCACAGTGCACGCCTAAAACATAGGATGAAAAGCAAATAATTCAAGAAATGCAGAGGAGGTGTTGTATGCTGAGAGAATTGCATCTACAATATTTTACTGTAGTAAACATGACCAACATGTTGTAGAGGCAGCCAGATTTCATCAGGAATACTGTAACTTTTTTGTGACCAGTTTAAATTTTACTAGTGTAGCCTTAACAATACTGTCTGTGGGAGTAATTCAGTGTCCAACACCAATAGATAAAATGCATTTACTGTAAATCCCTTCTTAAACGATACAAAAAATGTTAATGATATTTGGACAGGGCTTGGAGATTTTAATGCTACCACATGGCACAGAAAGATCAGGAGTTAGTATTGTTCATATGCACTGCTAGGATATTGCATGAGTCTTTCAAGGGCAAGAGTATGCAGGAACTGGAAGCAGCTTTGAACAGAGTATTGGGTTAGAAATGGGAAAATGCAAAATTAGATCCCTACTTGGTCACAAAGCTAACCAGATGGCCTTGAGCCACTTACTGTCATCTCATCTGTTTGGGAATAATGTAGTGGTGAGTAATCTTGTGTACTGTCTTGGGGTCTTGTCTGCTGCTTTGAGCTCCTTGGACATAAGTGAAAGAAAATGTGTTGTTTTTGACTGCATCCTGAGCCCAAGACAGAGTCCACCAAGGTTGTTAGAATGCAGCTCCCATTGTTCACCCCACTGCTGGCCATTCATTCCAATTGCCTTTTATTGAATCAGACTATTAAGCCACTTTGCTCAGTAATGTTTACATTGACAGTTTCAAGCTGTGGGTTGGAGATAGTTTGCACTTGGACTTTTATGCATGCCAAGCAAGTGCCCTAAACCAAGGTCCTTTCCTGCTGCTTTTTTATTGCTTTTGCTTATCACTTCTTCAGGCTACTTTAAAAATCCAATTGTTGCCTCCTTTTTGCTATTTCAAATAGGTAGCTGTTTTCTGTTGCATTGTAAAAAATATTTTATCTTGTGCTGAAGTTCTTGGGTGTTGTAACAGAGTTCCACCGGTAGATGGTGCCAAGGCTTAACCTGCTTCCTTTTTGTTCTGTCTTTATGTATGTAGTCTAGTTTCCCAAATGGGGGTAGGGTAGCCAGATTTGCACATTATAGGAATTACTTTAATTACCCCACTTAAATACACCCATTTGATACCTCCTCCCAGTTGCTTTCTGCCTGCTGTCAGCCACAATCTCACAAACCTGAAGAGGGAACAGCCTCATCCTAGGAAAAAGAGAACCTGCCCACCCCTTACATTCATGCCTACTTTCACTTGAGACCCATCAGCCACATGTGGAATTGCTGTGATGCTGCCTTCCAAATAGAGGTAGCTCAGTAAGTACATCACTGAGCAAGATGGATTCTCGTTTCATGTAGAGAGGCTCTTGATTCTCATCCTTGGCAGTGCTGGTGCAGAAGAGCAGTAAGCAACAGGGGTATCACCTGCCATCCAAGCCCCCACCCCACAGACACCAAAAAACCCTGAAACTGGAACTTGCACATACGAAGCATGTGCTCCTTTAATGAGCTGTATGGTCCCTAGGCCAGCTAATGTATCAGATGGGCCCTAGATTTGCACTTAGATTTGTGAGCACTGTCATAGGAACATAGGAAGCTGCCTTACATTGAATCAGATCATTGGCTCATCTAGTTCAGTACATCTACAATGAGTGGCGGTAGCTATCTAAGGTTTCAGACATGGGTGTTCTCAGCCCCACCAGGTGCTTGAACCTGGGACCTTCTGCATTCAAAGTAGATGCTCTGCCACTTAGCCCCTGGCCTTCCACTCTGGGCTTTTACTAGAGAAGCCATAGTTGTTTTAAAAAGGAACCAGTTTAGGTCTCTCCTTCTCTCTCTCTCTCTCTCTTGCAGGTGATGGGGGACACTGGCGTGGTAGAAAGTTCCATTATGTTTTGAATGTGGCTTTGGGAAATCAGTTTGTGTGGTTGCATCTGATGGTTTGCACAAGTGTTTGTAGTCTTGGGAAATATATTTGTGAATTCTTCTGTGCTAAAGCCTTTCATTTGTTATTTGCTCACCTTGAATATATTCCTCAGAAGTTCTGCGTCTAATAACCATTACTATTTTGTTATTGTTTTTTCTCTTTATATTCTTAAGTGACACTTGTGTTCCTTTTTGAATCAATAGATATCTGTAGATTGAATGTAATACCTGTATGTGTACAGTCAGGGTGCTTAATTTTATATTTCTTTGTGTGTGCAGGCTGCCTGTAACTTCATAAAATCAAAGGTGGATCCCAATAGTGTTGATTCCCTCTTCTATGCTGCACAGGCCAGCCAGGCATTGTCTGGATGTGAGGTGAGTTTAATTCTTTGTAGAGGAAATGGTATTAATTCTCCTGTTGTGCACATCTGTCTTCCTGAGACAGGCAAGTCTGAAGGATTCCTTACCCTTACCATCAAATTGCAATTCATAGGTAAAGGTAAAGGACCCCTGGATGATTTAAGTTGAGTCCAAGGCGACTATAGGTTTGCAGCTCTCACCTCACTTTCAGGCTGAGGGAGCTGACATTTGTCCACAGACAGCTTTCTGGGTCATGTGGCCAGCATGACTAAACCACTTTTGGCACAACGGAACACCGTGACGGAAACCAGAGTGCATGGAAATGCCATTTACCTTCCTGCCGCAGTGGTACCTATTATCTACTTGCACTGGTGTGCTTTCGAACTGCTAGGTTGGCAGGAGCTGGGACAGAGCCACGGGAGCTCACCATGTCACGGGGATTTGAACTGCCAACCTTTTGATCAGCAAACAAGCCCAAGAGGCTCAGTGGTTTAGACTGCAGCGCCAGCTGCATCCCTTGCCCTGCAATTCATAGATGAAATGCTGACCATTTCTGACCATGGCTTATGAATACTGCAAAACTAACGGTGGGAAAGAGGGCTGTTTAACAATGAGACAATGTTTATCTTTCTTAGATTGCCATTTCAAATGAAACGAGGGAGCTGCTGCTTGCCGCTGTCAGTGAAGATTCCTCCGTCACCCAGATCTACCATGCTGTTGGAGCCCTGAGTGGCTTTGGGCTCCCTCTTGCCTCCCAAGAAGCCCTGACTGCCCTGACTTCTCGTCTTAGCAAGGAAGAGAACGTCTTGGCGTAAGTCTTTTAGGAAATGAAATAGTTAACTTGCTTGCCTGTGGGTTCCTTCTGTCATTCCACTTGCATGCAGCCACTCTGTTTGCATTTGTAATTCATTTGTAAATGTATCTGTATATTTGGAGGTATAATGATAGCAAGTTGGTACACTGGTTAAAAGACTAGGGTTGAAGGAATGACCCAGCTATCGTGTTTTCATTATTGTTTTAGCATAAGCTATTAAGAGCACTGTGGATTAATGCAAGAAATAGTTCCTGGACTTTTGCGAGGAGGGGAGGCTTTGCTATACACATTTCAGTTGTGTGTGTGTGTGTGTGTGTGTGTATGTAGAGAGAGAGAGAGAAAGGGGTGGGGGCACAAGTAGGATACATTAATTGTAGAGACTATGGCCCAGTTTAAAATAGTGGGCTGGCTTTCTTAGCGGCTACTGAAGCAGGGCCTAGTTTCAAAAGCACTCTGTTCATATCTCTGGCAAGCCTGCTGGGTGGGGGAGAGAAAGAGAAATGGGCCCGCATCGTACAGACTGGTTTCCACCATCAAATTGCACAAATTGTACAGGGAGAGATGATAAGAGGAAGTTTAGGCTTTGAATCTACAGTAATTAAAATCAATCTTCCTTCAGTGACCACATGTGAAGTATTGAAATCTGAACATTATTTGACTTGGTTTTATTTTTATTAATAAAAATACTAATTTTAGGTAGGTTTCTTTCATTGTGCTGTTTTTGATGCCTGCTTAGAACTCTTATCTTTAGGTGATCCCAACCAGACATGCAGTTTTATTATGTCTAATTGTTTTTAAAGTCCACAGATTTTACTGGTATTTTTTATGACTATTTTGTATCACTTACTGTAAACAGCTTGGAAAGTTTTTTTTTATTAAGTGTTGTGTAAATCTTCTTAGTTAGATAAATAAATCTTTAGCTTACAGTATAATATTGAATTTCTTCCAATTCAGTAAGATGTCAGCTAAAGGTCTGTGCCATTCCATGCATCCCCTCTGCCAAAGGCACTTTCATTCCCTGACTCAACAGACAGAGATAGTTCGTGGTTTTTATTTGATGTTTCTGTTCTTGGCGAATATCTTTGACACCTCTGATGAGGCCAGTAGTCTGCTCTTAACTGGTGAAAATTATATCTGTATCTAGTCTTTTCTCCTCCTCATACTCTGGTTTCTGTTGTTTCAGAACAATTCAGGCTTTGCAGACTGCTTCATACTTGTCCCAGCAGGCTGACTTAAGAGGCATCGTAGAAGAGATAGAGGTATTTATTACAGGTGTCTGTTTATTTTTATGACCCACCCTCCAGCTCAGAAAGCCCCAACATGACCCAAAATATAAAATCAGTTAAAAACCATGCTGTAAAACAGTTAAATTTATTACAAAACTGTGCAAAGATACAGGAAAGATCAAACAGCACTCAGCTTCCATCTATTCCAAATGCTTGATGGAAAGAAGAGTCTGCGTTCCAAAAACACAACCAGGCAAGTCGTCTCTCAGTCAGGGAATGGCATTCCATAATTTGGGGCCAATTCAGAGAATCCCCTGTTCCTGTTAAAAGATAACCAAGGTTCCACGAATGATGGAATTTGTTAATGACACATCCACACCATACATTTAAAGTGCATGTATACCACTATAACAGTCATGCACCCTGCCCAGAAAAAGATATTCTGGGAGCTGTAGTTTGTCCCTCAAAGCTACAGTTCCAAGCACCATTAAGAAACTACAACTCCCATGATTCTTTAAAATCCATGTGCTTTAAATATATTGTGTGCATTTGACCTAACTGTCTAACTTGACAGTCATTCCAGCTTTCCTTCAAAAAGCAACTTGATCCTCGTGGCAGTGATGATTAAATGGTATATAAATCTTGCTCAATAAAGAACAACCCTGTGTAGTGGCAGAGAGACTGCATGGTGCTCGTTTTCATATTTGCTTCCAGAAAAAATCTGTTTGCAAATAACACAGAAATAAGCACTAAGCTTGTGCTACACTCTGCTATATTTCTGGAAGTGGCTTTTGCGTCATGTGAAAGTTCAAATACAATGTATAAGAATCAGGGAAATGTCAGGAAAACTGAATAAACGGGTGTATGAATGCAGCCCTGGTGGCTGTCATTCAACTGCTGCAAAGTTCTTTGCTATAATCCTGTTCTAGGATCTTGTTGCCCGACTGGATGACCTTGGAGGGGTGTATCTGCAGTTTGAAGAAGGACTTGAAGCAACTGCATTGTTTCTGGCTGCTACATACAAACTCTCTGACCATGTAGGGACAGAGCCAGCAATGAAAGAGGTACTCATTGGATGCTGCTTCTTTCCCTGATCTACAGTACTGTATATTTTTTGGGATAAGATGTGTGTGAATAATTATTTATTCAGGCATAAACTGCAAACCTGAAGCAGAAGAATTTAAACTGATGCATAAAGGAGTGAAGTAATATCTGCCATCGTTTAACCACTCTCTTAGCTAGACCTCAGAACAGCTTTTCTTTCATTAATCAAAAGAAATGTTAATATTGCCTTGTAGCAAAAGCGTAGCTGTATTGATCTGTAGTAATGGGAGTGTGTAAAGTACAGAGGTAGCGTAACAATGTAGGGCTGACCTGACTGAAAAGGGTTGGCTGTGCATTTGCAGCACATATAACCCTTTGGTCCTCATATACCAGTGACTTCTTAACAGTCCCCAGGCCAAAAATAATTGGAATAGGGAAACAAGGCATTGGTATTTTAATGCATGTGCCTGGAAAGGTTATGACATATCCACCCACAAATTATCATGATGATGAGCACAGCAGTGTGTTTAGAGTGTCCCCACTAATGGCTGCATCCAGTGGACACAATCCACTCCCACCAGGGTGTAGCTCCACATTCAGAAGATTCTGATGTAACTCAGTAGAGCTCTGTGGCGTGCATCACCCCACCCTCTACCACCTGTGAATGTGCATGGGTACATGGGCAGGCATGATGTATAGGGAGTCGGGGAGTTTTGCCTTCTAAAATCGTTCCCACCTCTTCTCTCTGTCTGCCTGGTGCAATATTCTCATGCCTGTGCATGGACATAGGGGAGAGGAGAGGAGGTGGGGCTCCACTGAGCAGTGCAGGGGTGTACCTAGATTGTGCCCATTGTGTCTGTTCAATCATGCAGAGCTTTAAAAAATGACAGTTTTGGATTAGGTGTGTCTGTCCCAATTTTTTGGACCATTCTCACCCCTAGAATAATCTAGATATGCTGTGAGCATATGCATTATTTTCCAAAGGAACCTGTACATTTCAGTGCATGCAAAGCTAACTTTAATGTGTGTTTGTGTGTGAGTTGGGGCAGGAAACGTTTCGTGGTGATTTGAGGTCAGGGATAAAGAAAGCCAGAATTTCTAATCTAAACCGAATCCATTTTCTAAACTTTAGTGGCAAACTGAGTTATTTTTATGGCATAAAATAACAAAGAGATTTAGGTTCTTAAAATGCCACATGTGCTTGGGCATGCCATAGTGACATGATGGAAATAGTGCATTTTAATAAATTTGACAGGAAAGACTGTAAATGAGTTTCTGCTTTAAAAAAATATGATTGATCAGGGCCTTAATTGGTGACCTCATAAAGTAGAGACAGACTTGTAGAGCTTTTATGTGCTTTCCCTGGGACATGTTTTTCCCCATGGTAGGTTAAGATCCTAATCATCAAGCTCTTTCTCTGAACTAAAAATACAATTAATGTCTAGTATCTCTAATTCTAGTATAAATGATAATAGGCTGAAAATGCCCCAGGTTATGAATGGGGAGCTTACAGTCACCCTTTTTCTGCAAAAAAAAACTTGATGTGGAAACACTCTTTTGCCATTGTGCTTGACACCATCATTCAGGCAAATCTAAGGTGGCAAATTATAGACTGCCAGGCATCAAACAATGGTTTTAAAAAACAATAATTCCAAAATTGGCCCTATTAAAGATAATTACTCCGTATGGATTAAAAATTATGTTGTCAGAAACTGTTGTTGTTGTTTTGCATATAAATTTTCTTTTGTTTCAAATAATAACCAATATTAAAAGAAAACAACTTCATTTTAACTGAATGAGGCAGTGCTAGTTTTCAAGCCCGTTAACTATACTTAAGGGAACAACCCATATCGAGTTTAGGAAGTTAGGCCCAAACAGGAGGCAAGGCTAGAGTGAGAAATTAGCTAAAGGAGAGAGAACGTGTTGTACAGTAGAACCTCTACTTACGACTGCCTCTACTTGGGCCCGATCCAAGTTGCGACCGCAGCAAACCCGGAAATAAATACCAGGTTTCCGCGATTCATGCATGCGCAGAAGCGGCTGCCGCTGTCTGCACACGTGCAGAAGCGCAATGCCAAATGCACCCGCGTACAACAGCACTTCTACCAGTGACCTGGATCAACTTACGGACAGACCTCCGGAACTGATTCTGTTCGTAAGTAGAGGTTCTACTGTACTTCCTTCTATAATAAAACCATTTCTTATCTTAATTCCTATTGCCTACTCTCTATTAAAGGGACGCGAGTGGCACTGTGGGTGTAAACCACAGAGCCTAGGACTTGCCAATCAGAAGGTCAGCGGTTCGAATCCCCGCAACGGGGTGAGCTCCCGTTGCTCAGTCCCAGCTCCTGCCCACCTAGCAGTTTGAAAGCACGTCAGAGTGCAATTAGATAAATAGGTACCGCTCCAGCGGGAAGGTAAACGGCGTTTCCATGTGCTGCTCTGGTTTGCCAGAAGTGGCTTAGTCATGCTGGCCACATGACCCGGAAGCTGTACGCCGGCTCCCTCGGCCAATAAAGCGGGATGAGCCCGCAACCCCAGAGTCGGTCACGACTAGACCTAATGGTCAGGGGTCCCTTTACCTTACTCTCTATTAAAAGAGAACATTACATTTCTTCTCCCTCTTTCTTCCTCTCCTCTAACCCATTGGCTTCCAGGGCCTTTAGTCTGCACATACATCATAGTTTTATGAATTTTCCTTTTTCAGGATCAAATCATCCAGCTGGTGAATGCAATTTTCAGCAAGAAGAACTTTGAGGTTCTTTTTGAAGCTTTTAGTGTGGCTTGTGCTGCAGCTTCCCTTTCTCAGAATCGTTACCATTTGCCAGTCATTGCAGTCCCTGATGGGCCTGCTGCCGTCTCCCACCACCAGCCCATTTTTAAGGTGAGTTGCTAGACTGTGATCAGTTGTGTTACTTTGACCTATAATTCCCCTGAGTCTGAGAACTAAAACAGTTGCCTAGGGAAGAGAGCACTGAAACTGTGTCATAAATCAGGGACAGTCTACATGCCCAGGGTCATGAAGCACTCAGGGGTCAGATAGAGAGGGCTATGTGATAGAGCAGAGTATAAATTTGGAACTTGCAGAAATAGGAATGGGGGTTTCTAGGATCCAGGTGAAACTGTAATGCTTCCTTCTTGTTTTTCAAGTTGCCAAGAGGTGTAATGTTGTTGATGTAATCTTGTTATATTTGTAGTACTGAAATGTTTCGATATGTTGTTGTATTTGCTATTATGTTGCTACAAAATTGTTCTTACGATGGTTGACTTTGAGAAGTATTCCTGTTTTCTTTGTTGCAAGCTGCCTTGAGCATGATTCTTTTTGTGGAAAAGGGGCATACAAATAGAATTACAAATGCACAGATGAAACTATTGCCCCTCATTATGTGGTGTTGCTTTTTAATCACATAAAGGGTAGCGATGGAGGGAAGTCTGCATGCATGCTCCACCGTTGACCATTCTGCACTGAGCAGGAGGACTGAGGAGGCTTGAATCACCTGAGGGCTCTTAACAAGCCTGCCCCCAGTCAGGAAATCTATGTTAGTGGGCTTCCCAGCCCACTACTCAATAGCATCAGCCAAGCATACTCAACCAAGCATACTCAATAGCATCTTTCAGCCCTTCTCTGTGCGGTGGATATTAGACATGGAACTGATGTGACTGTGCTTCCTTATCCTCACCACCTTCTTCTAGATGCATGAATGGGCTTTCAGTAAATAGCTAGGTAAAAGTTGATGTTAGTCTTTGGCAGACGTGCACACAAAAACGGGTCTGCTATCTAGCAGGTAAACTTCAGTTGCTGTGGCTGTGGGAAATAATCTAATTTTGCAAGTCTTTCTCATTCTCTAGCTCCAAGTGACCAATGTTATGTCACAGCCCCTGACTCAGGCGAGTGTGACCTTGGATCATGCAAAATCTGCTGCTACTAAAGCCACAGTCCTTCAACAGTCTGCCTTTGCTCTGTCTGGGTAAGGAAATATATTTTTGTTTTATTTTGGCTTCAGTTTTATTTTTCTCAGGGAGTGTACAGAAGATAGTCTCTGTTCTGAATTGTCTATTTCCTGGTACTGTAGGAAGAACTGAGAGAAACTGGGGCAGATAGAAAATACACACATTCCTCAAGCATACCGTTACTTAACTAGTTTTTTTGTTTTGGGGTTTTTACCAAAATTCAGAGTAGAACAGCTCTGTAGGCTGTGATCAGGTGCTTTGTTTATTTGTTCATATTCCAAAAGCATCAACCAGGTTTGTGACTTTTTTTGGTTTGTGATTTCTTTCTCCGTCCTCATAGCACCAGAACATCCAATGAAGCTGAATGTTGGAAGATTCAGGACCAATAAAAGAAAGTATTTCTTCATGCAGCACATAGTTTAAATTACGGATCTCACTTCCACAGGAGGCAGTGATGGCCACCTACTTGGATGGCTTTAAAAGAGAATTGGACAAATGCGTTGAGGAGAAGGCTGTCAGTTACTTCCAGCCATGTTGGCTATGTTCTACCTTCACCTTCAGAGGCATTGTACCTCTGAATACTAGTTGCTGGGAAGCACAAGGAGCTAGAGTGCTGTTGAGGTCATATCCAGCTTGCAGGCTTCTCACAGGCATCTAGTCAACCACTATGAGAACAGGATGCTGGAATAGATGGCCCATTGGCCTGATCCAGTGGCTGTTAGGTTCTTAGTTGGTGACTCTACCTTTGTTTGTTTTGGTCACTTTGGTGCTGCGTCACCCCCAGAGACTCCATTGTCTTGCGAGACAGGTAGATGCCAGCAACAACAATATTTGAATCGGTGTAGCTTTCCTCTGTCAATGTTATCTAGCTGCTTCTCTTTTCATTGGCTTGCTATTTGAAGCGATATGTTCCAGAAGCATCATCTCACCTTCTGATGACTTTTTGATGGACACATGGCTACCAATATCCTGCAATTTTACCACTGTTCTTCTGTTAACAGAAATGCCTTTGAGCTGAATTTCATGAGTGTCAAGCCTGCCAGTGGGTATTACGATTTCGCAATCAGCGTCGATGGGGACACTCGCTTTATTGCAAACAAAGTTGAGGTGGGTATATGTTTTGAATGCGTTTGGAGTCTTTGTAGTCATTGATTGGAGCCAAGTTGATTTACATTAGCTGGAAATGTTTCTTTTACTAATTTGTATCCCACCCTGCGATGTTAAAAACATTGTCAGGGCAACTTATCAAAATAATAAAATATGGAAAAATGGAAAAGATAAAAAATAGAGACCATTTTTTTTAAAAAACAAACATTTCCATCATGGATTTTAAAGCCTGAAATGATTCATTTTGGGGCAGGACCCACGTAGCATCCTATTTCAATACCCCTGACCTTGACTCCGCATCTTCCTATGCAAAATTATAGTGCAGAGGGGAGGGAACTTATGACCTTCCAGATATCGCTGGGCGACAGCTCTCTTCATCTGGAACCATTAGCCATGCTGGCTGGGGCTGGTGTCCGTTTGAAGTCCAGCTACTAAGGAGTCTATTTTGGAGGCACAATGAATAAAGAAACTGCCCAGCAACACTGCAGGCAAGGGTTCAAGCTCTTTTAAAAAATGGCACCTCTCAAGCAAGCTATCTCTCTCATGTAGGAAGCAACCTCCCTCTTCTGAAAAGACTTGCTGCATTTTGTACTGCTTGCTGACCATTAACCTCTCATTCCCTGACTTTTGTGGCCTTTGCTGAAAGACCAGGTTTTTAAATCATGAACCTATTTGGTCCTTGCTCATTTAGGTTTTAATGATATAGGTGTGGAGATGAGCTGTGTTTTCCTTATTAACATTTGGCTTTTAATATAAAGTTAAAACAAGAAGCATCTGCTTATCTTTGTGTAAGAACCATAGGTGCGTTACATATATCTCTTTTATGCATCTTATTTTTCTCCAGTTTCCCTTTAAAAAGATGTTATTTCTAAAGTCACAGCAGTTACAGTAACTGCAAGCAACTGGTGTTTGTGTAGGTTCCTTCAAATGCTGCTTACGCTACATGTTTTGGTTTGGGGCTCTTTTGCCCTCAATTGCCTGTTTAATTGAAAAATTAGCATTTAAGTCTTGCTGCTCACTCAGCGTGGAGCAGCTCGAAGAAGGCACTTGTTTACAAGTGCTGACCTCTGCCATACATATCAAAATCAATGTGGTAATTGGAGTAATAATCTCCCTTCAAGCATCAGAAGGGGATTGATGGTGCTGCTTAAACACTCTGGAAGCATGGACGAGTGCTAGTGGCCGTGCATTAATGGTGATGGCTTTGTACGAACACAGCCTCATAATAAGCCACATTGTTCCTGGAGAAAGCTGTTGGGAGAGATGCTTTTTAGAGGCTGTCATTAGCATTAATTCTACTTAGTGCACCAGAATTTTTGACAATTATGATCTAAACTTGGAGGCTAGCGTGCTAAGCAGAAAGAGACTGCATTTCCTGACATTAGTGTGTGTGTTGTATGAGTAACACACACACACACACACACACACACACACACACACTTTAAAGCAGCCATGCTTTTTCAGTGGTGCTATGCAATCCTAATCCTTGTTTGTACAACAGTGTGCTTGGTGCTACACAGAACAACAAGAGAGGAAGCTACATGCATATACACTGTTGCACTTGGAGCTTGAAGAAGTTTACCTTTCTATGTATGTTATGCGTCAACCCCACTTAGTATCAACAACCACTTAGTATCTCCTAGTGCTGGAGTTTCCCAAATAGTGTCCACATGTATCAAGGTGCCCTTGAACCCTGTCTCCCCCTTGGTGCTTGCCAAGGCTCCCAGTATATCCTAATATTTATTTATTTAAATAAGTTTAGGGGGTGCTTTTTTTTGTTTGGGGCGGGATTGCATATTTTTAGTTGTTTGGAGGGGTTATGCACTCTTTTTGGTCCGTTCTCATTGTTGTGGGTGGTAGCTGTTTTTGAAGTTTTCATTGTCACCCTTTTTCTTCTTCTCTGAAATGGATTGCCCCCCCCCACACACACACAGATGCCAGTGGGCTCCAATGGGTGTCTTGCACTTGTGAAAGATTACCCAGGTAATTTGAGGGGAAAATACTCAGAGAGGTTTTGTCTTTCTTATAAGGTTCAGGCCTTGTACATAGCAGGGAGACATAACAAACATACAGATGAAAACTCTCTCAACGCTACCTGAGCCATCCTACCTCTGTAAAGATAATGCTAAGCAGTACCTCCACCATCACTTTGGTTAACTGTCTTATTAGCAGGACAATTAACCCTTAGGTTAGAAACTGAGTGATCTTGGCCGTCGAGCTTCCATCACTCCTTCTGAACAGCAGGTGCGTCATTCCATGAGTTCCTGTCCTTTCAGGAGATTGCAGTAGTTATCCCTGAACTGCGACTTGGTTAATGCACCTGCATCCATTAGCTCTGTAATCCCTTGTTCCTGTAAGTCTTTTAGGTGAGGACTTTACATGCTATTACTGCATAGGAGAGTGTGCGGGAAGGTATTCCCTTTTTTGCTCTGCTTGTCCTTCTGAACTCTGGTTCCGGTTCCTGAACAGGGTCAGCACACACACTCGTATCAGACCCGCTCATTGAGATTTCTACTTCTTGATTGGTTGGTTGGTCTGGGTCCTTGTGTTGGCTCATGCTTGCAGGTAGGATTTATTCAGTGTTTGCTGGTTCCACGTTGCCTGGTCTGGATCTTTCATCAAAGTAAACACTGTGGCTTACTAGCACCTTGCACGTCTTGGGCTGGTGGGTTCTGTACCCTTTGCACTTTTTACCGTACCCCACCAAGACATCTTTAGACCCTCAGTCTCCCTGTTTCAAGCACCTTTCACTTGGGACATACACATGAGCTCTGATGTCACTTTGGCCTAAATTTGGTTTTGCCCAGTGCCACATCTCTTGTGGGGTCGTCTCAATTGCCTTTGGTGGCAGTTGGTCCTGTAGGTAAGTAGCCGTCATGATTGCATCTTGCCAAAATGAGTTGGGAAGGTTGTCGTCTAGCATCATGATTCCCGCCATGTCTACCAGAGTTTTCCTCTTCTTTCTGCCTCTTGGTTCTCCTTGGGGGGCACCTGGTGCTGTGGTCTGGTGCTCAGTTCCCTGTTTGTTGCTTGAAGAACGCTTCCATTTCTTTCCCCATTGCCAGTGTGAATTATGTCTGGTTTCTGCTGGAACTTGTTGCTGGTCAACACTACAAGTTTCTCCAGCACCTCATTCTTGTGCTTTGTGAGGTATGTGGTGTTGTATCTGGGGTAGACATCAATTAATGTTATGAAGTACCTGTTCCTGGAGGTATTTGGTGTCTCCATTTGTCCACTCAAGTCACTGTGGATTAACTCCAGTGGGCACTTGGTTCTGTTTTGGCTGATCTAGGGCAGTGGCATCCATGTCATCTTGACCTTCATGCAGCATGCATACTTCATTTATGCAGGCCATGCTGGTATCACCAGGTCCTTTGCTGAGTGCTTCTTCACACTAATAATAATACCTTTATTGTCAATGTACAACCTTTGTACAATGAAATTAACCGAGCCTACACACACACACACACACAAACAAACACTCGATCTAATTGCACTCTGTGTGCTTGTCGCACAACACACCAACCCTGAAAGTCAGTTGCACTATATTATTTTCCGTTCAGCAGCCTAATAGCCCACGGATAGAAACTGTTTTTTAGCCTGATTTTACTTCTATATCTCCTGCCCGAGGGTAGAAGATTAAAGAGGTGCTGGCTGGGGTGTGAATCATCCCTGAGTATTTTTCTCACTCTTCTAAGGCAATGATCCTTTGCGATGTCATCTAGTGGGCTCAGGGGACAGCCCATGATATCATGTGCTGTGTTCACCACCCTGTGTAAAGACTTTCTGTCCGTGGCTGTCAAGCCAGCGTACCACACTATGATACGATATGAGAGGACATTTTCTATTGTGGACCGGTAGAAGGAGGTCATCAATTGTTGTTTAACATTGTTCTTTTGCAAGACCCTGAGGAAATGGAGTCTCTGTTTGGGCCTTCCTAACCACCTGAGTTATATTGTTTTTCCAAGTGAGGTCTTCACTAAGGTAAACTCCCAGGAATTTACCTTAGGAAGCGGTAAAAGGAAGAGACTCTCTCCACACAACCCCCCCCCCCCCGATATACAACAGGGCTAGTTTCCCTCCTCCTCCAAAAGTCCAACACCATCTCCTTTGTCTTGCTAATATTTAGGTGCAAGTCATTCTCTAAGCACCATGTAGATGCTTTTTGAACCTCCCCTCTGTACGCTGATTCATCTCCACCTGTAATTAGACCCATTATGAGTACAGTGGATGGATCAGATGAAATACAGTCATATGTATACAACGAGTACAGGTTGGGACTCAGCACACATCTCTGTGGGGTGCCAGTGCTGAGCTTCAGGGAGGTAGATGTAACAGGCCCAATCCTCACTGATTGCATCATCGTTTCTGTGCCCTGGGCCTCTGTGCTAGAAGTGGATGCACTTGTTGTGGGGGTATTTGGCAGACTGTTCTGACTTTATTGTCACTGCTAATAAGCTTGCACAAGTGGTCATCTACCATTCCCATGGCTAGAATATCTTCCCCCTGCTGTTAATAATGACCTTTGCAGTCATACAGAAGAAAGTTGCACCAGCTTGTTTTCTGTAAGACTTTATTAGTAGTATCACAAATGGATTGTTTTTAAAATGCACATGTTGATGTTTTGCAGTGTGCAGGGAGCCTGTTACTCAATCAGTCTACACTTCTCTCTTTTGTACACTGATTCCTATAGATTAGTACTATTCTGATTAGCTTTTACAATCCTGTCTACGTGCCTGTTTGTGTTTAGTTGGCTTCCCTATGATTACTTTTAAGAAAAGGGACCCATTTCTATTATTTGCATTTTAAAAAGAGAGAAATATATAGGCAGTTTTTTAAAAAAAATTACGGCAGCAATTTCTGCAGGCAGCTTTATCAGAATGGAATGGAATTTTGTCATCAGCAAGCTAGTTTGGTATAGTGGCTCAAGCGCTGGATAGATTTAGATAGTGGGAAACCCCAGTTTAGATAGTGGGAAATCCCCACAAATCTTGCTTGATGACCTTGGAGAAGAAGAGTGTGGATTTGATATCCCGCTTTATCACTACCCGAAGGAGTCTCAAAGCGGCTAACATTCTCCTTTCCCTTCCTCCCCCACAACAAACACTCTGTGAGGTGAGTGGGGCTGAGAGACTTCAAAGAAGTGTTACTAGCCCAAGGTCACCCAGCAGCTGCATGTGGAGGAGAGGAGACGCAAACCCGGTTCCCCAGATTACGAGTCTACCGCTCTTAACCACTACACCACACTGGCTCTCACACTTGACATTCTGGGGGACTGGTTGCTATCCTTAACCTACATCACATGGTGACTGTAAAGATAAAAAGAGGTGGGAATGGGGGAAGCATGGATGGCACCCTAAGTTCCTTGGTGGAAGGTCGGGATAAAAATAGATAATAATGTCAGCATTCGGCACCTTGCTTTATCTGCACCTTACAGTTATATTTACTTATTTGCAGCTGAAAGTCAAGGTCTCCACAGAAGTTGGCATTTCAAATGTGGATCTCTTCACTGTGGATAAAGACCAGAGTATTGCACCAAAAACTACCAGGTAAAATACCAGTAATTCAGAAGGGCAGGACTTTGAATCCAGGCTCTTTGCTAACCTTTTTTCATGGCAAGGGTTTTTGTTTGGTTGGTTGGTTGTTGTTTTTTTTAGGCAGCTAGTGTTTGTGATAAGCACAAATGCCTATATACTAAAAATGGTTAGAATTTTATCACATTCCAAGACAGTAGTCATGTAAAATCTGGGGGTGCCCGATTGCCATCGCTGACTTTGGCTACATTCACATGATACATTTAAAGCAGTATTGGCATTCCATCATTCCAGTCCTGATCCAGCCCAAACCATTCAGTCTCCACCCATCTATCTTCACCCCAACCTTTCTGAACATGCTGGGGAAAATGGTCATCTTTCAGTGGTGTGCTTGAGTCTCTTTCCTTCCCTCCTTGGAAAATCTGGTCAGTTCCCAAGATTTGCAAAAGCAAATACCCCTGAAATTGACACTGTATGATTAGTCTAGAGGTGGGCAATTAGCAACCTGTACATAGGCACTCCATCTTCCTTTCTAGCAGATTTGGGGGGGCAGCATAACCAGCTCCAAACAAACAGCTTTCTTGTCATGTCTCACTCATTTACTGGAAGGGCAACATTCTGGTCTGAGATTTGTCAGGCTCTCCCACCTGTCAGTATGCTGCAACTGGTACAAGTTCCTCAGCGACACTTCGTTATTTTATTTTATTTTTTTCCTTTTCAGGATCACGTACCCAGCCAAAGCCAAAGGATCCTTCACTGCTGACAGCCATCAGAATTTTGCCTTGTCCTTCCAGCTGGTCGATGTGAACACTGGAGCAGAACTCATCCCCCACCAGGTTAGCTGGTCCACACAGTTACCTTGTTGTGCGTGCTTGCTACCCATAGAGATCACTTTGTCAAGGGAGCCCTTTGGAAGGGGTTTTTCCGAGGCTAGTTCATTCTGAATTAGATGGTGACAGAAAAGTTTGAGGGGAAATTCCGCAAACTTGCCATAAACAGTTTTGAAGTAGGGGATGCAATTTATTAGGGTCAGGGGGAGATTGCAGTATTCTAGAGCAGCAGAGGGGGGCTGGATTCAGTCAGCAAGCCAGATCCTTTGAGATACAGTTCTCCACTTAAAAACATACCAACATGTGTACATAGAATGCATATTCTAGTGTAAAATGCCTTGGAGTTTTACAAAAAGTCACTCTGTGCTTTCTTATGGTAGAAAACATGGCACAACTGGAGATCCACTAAAAACATTCTGGGAAATATCCTGTGGTGGGGATCTTTGCTTCCAGCTGGAATCAGGTCCTAAATTCCTCTCTGGAAAAGTGGGTGTCATGTGACAATATACAGCCTTCTAATTACATTATGATACTAAAGGTGCAGAATGTAAAACAGAATGAGGTGGTCAACTTTCCTCCCCTGAGCCCTGCATAATCTGCAACGGCTTCTTTAGCGGTGTTTCCAGCGGTGGGCAGTCATTTGGAAAGTTCATTCCAAGCTCTGAAAGAGGTGAGGTGGTGCCCAAAGCCTTATGATGGATGTTAGGAGATGAATGCTAGCGCGAGTTTAAAATCGCCTCTTCCTCTTCAGACCTTTGTGCGACTTCACAATCAAAAGACTGGGCAGGAGGTGGTGTTTGTTGCAGAACCAGACAGCAAAAACATCTACAAGTTTGAACTGGACACTTCAGAGAGAAAGACGGAGTTTGATTCCGCCTCTGGAACCTACACCCTGTACTTGATCATTGGGGATGCTACTTTGGAAAACCCAATCCTCTGGAATGTGGTATGTTGCTCCATTTGCACTGTGCCCTTCCTTTGGTTTTAGTGTTATGCAGAGAGAAGTAGCTGCAATGATTGGCAGATGGATCGCCATATCAGGTGTAATTTCAAGGAACCAGCTTGTCTCAGACACAAATAAAACAGATTGCTGCATGCTTTTTCTGCATATAAAGAGCCGGCAAACAGAAATTGATACCATTCCCCAGTAGGGATGTAGTGTGCTTAACAAGCTACCTCAAATAGTGTAGTGATGTAACTTGAGGTGTCTCTGCCATATGCATCACTTTATTTCATCCCCCACAGCTAATCACAGTTCTCTGCTCACAGTTGCTAATGGAAGTTACTACTAGTCTATTCTAAGCCTTGAGCCCGTCCTTTATTTCTTTTGCACTCAGAAAACAAAGGTGTTTTCCCTTGCTTTAACTTGCTTGGATGCAGAAGAGAATTTTTTTAAAAAAAATACAATGAGGTAACTTCATTTATGTTAATGTATTTTGACTGTGTACCCCAGGCTTCCTCAACCTCGGCCCTCCAGATGTTTTGAGACTACAATTCCCATCATCCCTGACCACTGGTCCTGCTAGCTAGGTATCATGGTAGGCCAAAAACATCTGGAGGGCCAAGGGTGAGGAAGCCTGGTGTACCCAGTAACCACTTGGTTACCTCATCTGTCTTGACCCTTTTAAAAAATCACAATGTTATGATATTCCCTGTTGTAAAGTTGTTGAAGAGTTACTCCTTCTGGCCTTGAAAGTTGGTCTGGTGCAAATCCTTATCATGAAACTGCATCTGGCCAGATCCAACACTCTCGGGTTAAATTCTGTTGAGAAAGGTTGCCACCTTCAATGTGAACTGGAAAACTGTAATGTTTTAACTTTATGCAGAACTTCCTGTTTCCTTTGGTCTTATCTGCATACACAAAATAGAATAACTTCCAAGCCTGTATGAGAATTTCTGTCTTTAAATTTGCCCTTACCTATTAACAGAATGAATACACATTGAATGTTTTTACTTGTGTAGTTTTAACAAGTATATGAATGTAACCAGGTGGGTTGGGTTTGGCGAACTCTTAATTCAATCTCATTGTTTATGGAAGAACTATTTTAATCTACAGTGGTACCTCGGGTTACATACGCTTCAGGTTACATACGCTTCAGGTTACAGACTCTGCTAACCCAGAAATAGTACCTCGGGTTAAGAACTTTGCTTCAGGATGAGAACAGAAATCGTGTGGCGGCGGCGCAGCAGCAGCGGGAGGCCCCATTAGCTAAAGTGGTGCTTCAGGTTAAGAACAGTTTCAGGTTAAGAACAGACCTCCGGAACGAATTATGTACATAACCAGAGGTACCACTGTACTTAGAATGTGAAGGAAAGTTCTTTTTTGCAAATTAAGCTACGTTAGTATCATATGTTCTCCACGAGGTGTAAATCTTCATCTAGTAATTCCGCTTATATATGCGCATATAATATTCACTTCAGGCTGATGTTGTCATCAAGTTCCCAGAAGAAGATGCTCCAGCCACAGTCCAGTCAAAGAGTCTTTTCACTCCCAAGCCGGAGATACAGGTACAGCTGTTAGAAGCCAGGTGATAAGTTGGCTGTATTTCTCTATCTAGGATGGGGAACCTGTGGCCCTTCAGATATTGTTGGACTCCCAAGTCCCATCACCCCCAGCCAGTATGGCCAGTGAGCAGGGATGATGGAAATTATAGTCCAGCAACATCTGGAGGGTCACAGGTGACCCATCACTGCTCTACTTATATGTTTTGTTTTTAGCTATTTCAGCAGTTGTTTTAAAAGTCCTCTGGCCTTAGAGGAATCTGCCCTTTTAAATGTTGTGTTTATAGAATTTGGTTTACATGCTGAGTCGGCATAATTGTCCTGTCTGTCTGTCTTCTTGTCCTCCCTCCTGCCTCAGGTGTTAACACATGTCCATATAATCCATGTCTGAACCACTGAGGCACTTCCCACTTGCTTTAAACTTGCATTCTTCTCTGCCATTTTATCAAAAAATGTCTTGCACACTCATCTCCTGGACAGCCTCCCAAACTAGCATTGGGAAGTGTGTTAGGATGATGTCTAGTAGGTCCCTGTCAGAAGATGACACACAAAGGAGAGAGCCACCTCAATTGGAAGAGAGGCTCTTATGTCACTCAGCAGACTATAGAAGCCCCAGCTTTAATATGTAGAATCCAGAATGTATCATTTTGATGTGGGTGGATATCCTGGTTCCAGAGTTACCCTTCTTACACATTTTATCCATGAACTCCTCTTTATAGCACCTGTTCAGAGAACCTGAGAAGAGGCCTCCCACCGTGGTGTCCAACACATTCACAGCCATGATACTCTCCCCACTGCTTTTGCTCTTTATTCTGGTAAGTTTCTCATATCCAGACCAATGTATAGCCTTCAGACAACTGATACCACCTTCTCAGCTTCTAACACAGGTAGTGCAACTCTATGGCAAGATATTCAAGGGGCAGTGCCAGCATTTTTTGCAGTGTGGCCTAGTGCTCGCTGTCCAGTAACACTGCAAACTCAGCCTTGCCCAGTCTGGTGCCCTCCAGATTATTTGGGCTACAGCTCCCATCACACTCAGCAAGCATGGCCAGTAGTCAGGAGTGACAGGCTGTGCAGTGATCTGCAGAGCATCAGGTTGTATATCTAAATCCCCATCTTACATATCTACAGGAAATCTATCCCCCTTATATAGCTCTGTTGGAATCATAGAATTGTGGTGTTGGAAAGGGACCCTGAGGTTCATCTAGCTAAATCTCTACATCCCCAAATGTCTGCCTCCATATGGGAGACCCCAGACTTACGTGGCGATCAATTAGACTTTTGAATGCTAGGCCCATATCTTAAACAAATGCTATTTTCTGAGTGAAATTGAAAAATCTAATGTGTTGGAGGGTGAGCATTTGCACACACGCTATATAATTTGAAGCATTTCTGAAGGTCAATTTTGTTTTGGAAAAGGTCGGTATGATCTGGATTTGGTTGTCCTCAGGGCTTTTTGTCTAAAGTATGTTCTGTACCTTTTCAGTGGATAAAGATCGGAGCCAACATTTCCAACTTCAGCTTTGCTCCAAGCACCATTATCTTTCACTTGGGTCATGCAAGTAAGTGCCAGAGAAATTCCTCCCTATTTATCCTTTTCCACGTAGGCTTTGCAGTCAGGAGCCTGATGACAAAGTGCCTCACAACCTATTAGCGATAATGGGCATAATAGCGCTTCATTCCTCCCCCCCTTCCTCCAGTCTTTCAGAAACACGTGTCACCCATCATTTTTAACAGCTGTCATTAGACTGGGCTTCTCTTGCTTCCATTTAGATGCATTTGATAGCACAGTGTGTTCAGAGTTTTCATTTCAGTTGTTTATCCTTTGGTCTGCCCACAATTCTGCAAGAGAGGCTTGAGGGATGCCTCCTTATATCCCTTTATTTAAAACATTAAGTTATCTTTATGCTCCTTGTTCAGTGCCAAAGCTTAGGTTCTCTGCAGCCAATTTCTAGCATCGCTTATTTGCCTAAAGAGGACAGTTGCCTCTTTGCAACTTATTTTGGAGAACATTGCTTTGCCTTTACAGGACATGGCTTTGGCGCCTGATACACAAACACACACACACAAATATGAACCTACCCTTTTCTCTTTACTATAATTTGTTTTAAACTGGTTTTAATACTATATTTTAAAATTGCTGTAACCCACACTTGAGACCTTATGGTGAAAGGTGGGTAATTAATAAATAAAGAAACATGTATTTGTAATTCTGGTGTTCCTGAGAGGCATACTGTCCTTTAAAATCCTGGGGAAACTCCTTTTAACATTCTACATCACTTCATATTTTTCTGGTGAAATGAAAAAGCAGTGCCACTATTTTAGAAATTCTGGGTTGGGTTCATTCTGTTAGTGGTAGCTCATGCAAGGGCTTCTGCTACTGCAACAGGGCTCCCCCACCCGATTGCCTCAGGGTGGGGTCAGAAGAACCCTCCAGAGGGAGGAGAAGGGGGGTTGTTCTGTCTGGCAAGCTGAACTACATGTGCTTGTGGAATAATTGCCATAGTGCTGTGTTGAATTCCTCCTGGTCAGTCAGTGGGTGCTAGTCAACTAATTATTACTCAAGAGTAAAACCAATTGAAATTAATGAACATGACTTAAGTTCGGTCCATTAATTTCAATATGTCTACGCATCAGATGTAGCAAGTTTCATTATAGCATCTGATTCATTTTTTCTAGTCTAGAGTTCTTGGTTCTTCCATATCCGTGCAGGGATGTTGGTTACCCGTCTACCCTGAGAAGCATAGAGGGTTGTTTAGACAGCTTGCAATATTGGTTTGGGGTCTTAGCACTTTCCTCAGTATTTAGGCTTATTATTGTCTTCCTTTCCAAGGGTCCAGACACTGACGGAAATACCCAGTCACTGGGAATTGATATGCAGTTATCGTGTGCTGCCCATTGCTGTGGATTTTTATTATGTACCTCCTTTTCAAATTCAATCTCACCCACTATGCCTTGCCTTTTCCTAGCAATGTTGGGGCTCATGTACGTGTACTGGACTCAACTCAACATGTTTCAGACCCTGAAGTATCTGGCTATCCTGGGAAGCCTCACTTTCCTAGCAGGCAACAGAATGTTGGCTCATAAAGCAGTTAAAAGGTAAGGCGACCAAAATGGGGGTTACAACAGAACCTGTCCCCTTGAAGAGAGCTTGGCTGAGTAGAAGACCAATCATTTAAATGTGGGGTGTTAGGAAGAAGTCCAGAGCTGAACATCTAGCTGACATTCTTAAGTGGTAGAATATGGGTAGAGATGCCTATCTGCCATACTGGCTTGTGATGTCAGTAATTAATGGAGGGCTTCTGGAGGGCCACAGAGTAGCCACCTCTGACTTAGGATATCCTAATGTTGTATAAATGAACCAGGAATTGCTACCTTGTCTTATAAGCATTTATTATGGAGACTGAGAGAAATGCAGAAGGGGACCTTTCTGCACTGCAGGCATGGAGTCGGCTAGAAACTGCTTCTCAGCCTGGTAAGCCATTTTGGGTGTTTCCACTTCAACATGTCGGCTTGGCTTCCATGTGGCCATCAAATGTTGTCAGGGATGGTGCAGAGGGAAACCATTCAGTCGAGACCAATCAGCACAGCAAAGTTGACACAGACAAAACAGCTTGCAAATGTAGTTTCAGTTGGCTTCCTGTGGTGGTGAAGGTAGTAAAAAAGTAAAAGCAGGCCTAAGTTTCTGTTTTGTTTCTTGCAGGACTTCTGGTAGCTTGAAAGTATAATCAAAATGCTTTGGGCATGTTTTGATGATGCATCAAGTTTGCAATTCCTTTCTTTATTAAAAACTTAAAATAGTTATTTAGCTGTCAACACAGATAAAGAATTCAGTTTATCCTCAAATGTCTTATAAAAGTCCATGCAGTAAAACTGCTATCTACATGGCTTTGCCCAGGCCAGCATCACCTGAACCCGTGTCTGGTGGCAAGAATTCTCTTTGAACATGTTGCAAAAGGGTGGCAGTCCTCAATGCTCACCCATATCTCAGTAGAGTTTCTGGAAGGCCTGGTTTTGCTGCCTGCATGCTTCTCTTTTCTCTGTGTTGTCTGTTCCTTGAGCAACATTGCTGTCCTTGCCTTTACTGTCCTCTCTGAACCTTTTCCCCATCTCTCCTTTTGGCAGGATCGCTGCAGAACAGAGCAGTAGGTTGGCAAAGTATAGAACGCTGCGGTAAAAGGGGGTTGTGCTAGTGACCAGCTCTTCCTAGAAGTAAGGGTCCTTGGATGTTGCCTGTTGCCCAGCCATACTAGCTGCTTCCATTTCATGCTCGTCAGCCGCCTCTCCCTGAGCCAACATAACCTCACCTGAAACCTCTTTCCACCCACCTTGTATGCCTTTGAACCTGGCAAGGGGCACATTTTTTAAATTAAGTTTCATTTACAAGTTATCATCTCACCATTCAGATTCCTCCTTGATACCTTGGTTGTGTTCCAAGCCTGCGTAAATGTCTTATTGGCCATCTTACGCAAGCATCCTTGCTTACTAAGGCTCTTTACCATTTTTAAAAAAGTTTTAATTTAAACCTCTGCTTGTTAATTAATCAGTTAAAAATTAAATACTTGCTCAAAATCCAATGTTTTGTTTATATCCTGCTTTCCTTGCATTAATGGACTGAGGAGGCTCAAGTGATCTACTGAATTGCAGATCTGACTTAAACTGCCTTTTTAGTATCATACCTGTGTGTTGCATCAGTAACTAGGTCCAGCAGCACAGGATTTCACCTAAAAGTCTGCAGAACAGTCATCCTTGATTCCACCACACACACACAACTGCCCAGTATCCCACATATTGTTTCCCCTTCTACTTTTCCAGTCAGGCAGATACCAGATTTATTTTATTATTTCATTTAAATTTCATGTATTTATATTCCACCTTTCTTCCATCCTGGAGCCCAGGGGGATGTACATGTGGTTCCCAGGCAATCTCCCATCAGGATGGCTGCAGCTCCATCTGCCAGAAGTAAAGTACTTTGCAGAAGTAAAGAATATTCATATTTATTTAGATTGCACACCTGTGGCTTTGAACAATTGAGACACTTGGAAGCTTGAGTCTAGATTGACCACAAAGTCTCACAAATCCACTGTTGTTTTCATGTGGTGGATATATCCCATCTCTGCCCTGAGATACTATGTGAAATTGGGCTGGCTGGCACACTATTTGATTTTTTTCCCCTCTGCATGTGTGTAACACCTTCATTTCTCATATTTTATCCATTCATTCTGCCTGGTCTGAGAAAAGGAACTTGGAGAGCCTTCTAAGCATATAATAGCTTAGAAGCTGAAAGCTAGGTGCCAAAATACTCATGCTCTTTGCTTAAAAAAACCCCCTCCTCATTCTGCAATCAGAATATGTTGTACCAGTTAAGTAAATGTAATAATTTTGCTGCTCAGATATGTTTTTGAAAGAATATGGTATGTTGGCTGGAGGCAGATCAGATAGAAATGATAATGGGTAATAGAACAGAGTGTGAGAACAGTACAGGGCAGTGAAACTTCGAGCACTGAAAGCTGTCTTATAAGTTTCCATGTTTTGACCAGCCCACTGCCCACATATTTCAAAGTTCTTTTTTTAATATAGCAATGAGGGCTAGAAAGGTTTTTCTTCGAGAATGAAAGATTTTTTCAAGATGCCAAATTCAGCACCGCTTCTCAGATTCTGTGGTGACACAGGGTGCCAACATGGATGAAATATTTTGAAGCCAATCTACATTGTGGATATAAAACTTAGGAATGTACAGGCCATTTATTCTCCTTTGCTTTATAATGTAAGCAAATATTATTGTAAATTCTGGGTTTTGCTCCTAAGTCCACATACTGAAAGCACAGGTGCTTAAGAAGTTGTTTCACAGTTGTCCCTTCTTAAATTTTCAAGAACGTATGGGCCCAAATATGCTACGTGGCCTTAGCTACAATCCTCCATGTATATATTTTGGGGAGGGGTGATGATAATCTCTTGTATTACAAAATTAGGGTTACTATTATCATTCTGTTGAATATACTGAAAGCAGCACCCTTCACTTGCCAAAGGAAAGACATGAAGCTACCAGGAGAGAAGTATCCCAATCTTACTGAATATCTAAGAAACCGTGTTGCTTTCAGTATTATGCTCTGGGCCATAGCTAAAAGCAGATATTTGCATGGGTGTTTTTTCTTGCCAGCAACATTTTCATGCATCAGAAATGCATCTATATGTGTGTTATTCCTATTTCCGTTGTCCAGGGGCATTGCATGTTGGATTTCAGAATTTAGAGCCTTGCTATCTTAGTAACCCATCACCCTCATCCTTTAGATGCAGGTGTTCTTTATGTACTTTATACTATACCGCTTGGGGCTCAGAAAGATAATGGTCAGTTCATATTGATCAGTAAAAACCAGTTTTTGCCTTTTTTTGTCCTAATAGTTAAGTTTTAATAACTCAATATTGGCTGCCATTCTGTGCACACTTAGTTGGAATACCCATTAAATGCAGTAGGAACTGACATCTGAATAAGCATCCGTAGACTGGGCTATAACAATTTACATGTTTTACCGTAAACACCATTTTAGTGCATGTTTTGTGCATTCTTCAAGCTTTTGGCCATCCCTGAATCAGGCTTCATAATTTTCATTACGATGCTAAATTTATATATTCACTGTGCCAAAAAGGAGGGCATCTACTTAATACATGGAATTGTTATTCTGCATCTGCATTTTTAATTTTGCAAGTTTTCTGTGTGTCCTTCCAGAACTCACTGATGCAAGAAGAAAAGAAAAACTTGAAAGAAATCCAGTTTGAGCTCCAGAGGGAAGGAGCCGAAGAAGAGTTTAAAATACGGAAAAGAATTGCCTCTAATAAGGAAAAGAATTTTGTTGGATTTTTTTTGTTTTTGTTTTTTTAAGAAAAAAAAATCCCCACATTTTGTATTTAACTGACTGTTTAAGTGCTTTGAGTTATGGCATAAACACCTGCCTGCCACTAAGGATTTTAGAAATTGTCAGGCTCCAAGAATTTGTTTTCCTATTGTCTCCTTTATTGAATAAAGAGGATGAGACAAAATGAACTGTAAATTTGTGAGGGGTTTGCAGATGTGCAGCCTAGCTTATGACTTGTGTCTGTACAGGCCACTTGGTGGTTTGGACTCTCCCCACCCACACACCCTCCCCAAGCCACTGGCTGAAATGTGTCCTTTTGAACTCTGATAATGCCTTTTGCTTGCCTGTATGGAGAATAGAGAGTTCTGTGCAAAGGTAAAATACACATTTGTTGCTCCACCAACCACTGATGCACAGCCCTCAGGTTCAAAAAGTTTCCCAGTCCCTGCCCTATTATATCTGGGCACACTTTTTGTGCGTATTTGAAAGAATTCTCCGGATAGCAGCCCTGGCCTTTGCAGTAGTCATGGCAATCTAGATGAAAGTGCTTTTTCTACTTCTTACCACTTTCCTTGCATGTGTGTTCCTTTTTGGTCTCCTAAGCCTTTCCTCCCTGATCATTTCTGATGGTGCAGTGAATTTCCCTTATATTCCAAGGTTTGGCTTTCTGCATTTTCAGAATTATTTTGTTGCACTTCCAACATTGTTTTGGCTGTAGTCATTTGGTTGGTTGATGTTCCCTTTATTTCTAGCAGCAGCACATAGTGCAGGGTAAAAGCTGTCCATGGTCCTGAAATCAGAAGTCAGTCATATGCTTTCCAGTGAACCCCAAGGTCAGTTCCCAATTAATTCATTGGCAGAGGCCCCCATGGCTAATATTTGATACCACACAACTCTGTGCCTTTATACAGTAATTCTGTATAGGAAAAAAAGAGTTTGGATATATATATGATTGCTATACATCAGGGGCATTTATTTTCAAACTGAAGTGAGGCTACATATTCAACAGTCAAACTGTAGTAAGCACAGGGAACAGAAGTCCCTCACACTTTGTTTTCCTGATGGCATTCTGGACAGTATTGGTGCACATAGTAATATGTCTGTTTCTTTGTACAGCTTCAGAAGCAGAAAGAAGAGCAGGGTGCTCCGGGAGTGGCACTGACCAGAATGAAGCAGGACAAAGCTTATTTACAGTTCCATTAGCTTGGTTAGGACACTGACAAAATCTTCCAAGTGGTCATCATTGATATCTTGAGACCTGAGGTGGGGAAATAGAAATAAAACAACTTAATGTAATGTAAACCATTTTGTTTGCAGCGGGACAGGATTACACCATAGGAGCATACAAAGGTCTCAGACTCCCTGCCCATCTTGACCATTATTGACTGATAACATGTCCTTCCAAGCTTTTGACAGAGTTCTTTTCCATCACTTGCTACCTGATCTTTTGGGCCTAGGAGCTCCTGTTCTTTGGGCATGCAAAGCTCTTGTTCTCCCACTCTCCCTACAACCTCGTGAACTCAAGGGGATCTGTATACTAACCTTGGATTCTGCAACATGGCTCCCAAGAAATTCCTCAGTACCATCTGCTGGTGATAGCGACTGCCCATCAGGATGCTGTCAGACTGCCTCCGGGTCATGAATTCGTGTTCCTCATCCCCCAGGTTGCCTTCCCTGTAATCAGCACGATGTAGATTAGTGGAAGGTCTTGAAGCCCCTGCTTAGTTATGAACTTCAGATTGACCATGAACAAGATGTTTGACCTGTCTTCAATAACATGTGATTGCCTCATATACAAGAAAGGGTGAGAACACAACTGAAAAGTCAGCTGAAAGATTGGCTGTGATTTAGAATGATTTAAAAGTGCTTTAAGCAAGAAAGAAGGAACCCATGACCATCTGCATATGGTTGGATTCCAACCCCCATCACGCCAGCCAGCATGACCAGTGGTCATGGTTGATGGGAGGTGTAGTGTAGCAACATCTAGAAGGCCACAGGTTTTCTGCCCCTGCTTTAAAGTGTAATAAGTGTAGCAATATCTTCCTCTAATGCAGGAATGGGGATCTTGTAGCCCTCCAGACATAGCTAAACTGCAACTTCCATCATCCCTGATCACTGGTCATGCTGATTTGCAGGGCCAGCCCAACCATAAGGCAAGAAAAGGCGACTGCCTCAGGTGGCAGGATCCACAGGAGCTTCCAAGGCATATATTGCCTGCCGGTGCTTCTAATAGCAACAACAGTGGCATGCTCCCTTGCTGACCGGATCTCAATGCTGCCTCTACAGTGGCCTCTTGGTAAATCAGAGGTGCTGCTGGTTTCCTCTCACCCTTGTTCCCAATATAGATCTTCACTCACCCCTTCTTCCCTGGTGGGGGTGCCATTTTGTAGTTCACCTCAGGTGCCAAAATGTCTTGGGCTGGCTCTGCTTATTTGGATAGATGGGGCTTGGACTCCAGCAACAGCTGAAAGGCCACTTGCACTACTGGCTTGTGAAGGAATAATACACTCAGGTCCCGCTATGCAAATGCTCATTATAAGAAAAGGAATTAGTACCCAAACCTCACTATACACACTGAATATTAAGATATCCAAACAGCCGGACCTGTGTGTAGTACTGTAAACAAATAAGCAGCCTCAAACAAGCCTTGCTTTTGTGTTTTGCTAGTCGTCAGCAGCTGTTTCGCCAAAAACTTAGGTGGGTGGGAGGGAGGGAGATGGGAAAAATTAAAGCATTTTTTCCCTTGTTTCTTTGCCTTTTGGAATGTTTCAGAGTTTTCCTGGGTTTTTTCATCATTTTGGGGCCAAATTTCCATTGTCAAGAACACATCAGAAATTTCCCCATAGGAATCAATGGAAATTGCCAACTCATTATACAAGCACTCACATAATGAACAATTTCCTGAGAAGGCATTGTGTTCAGTTAGTGGGACCCGTGCGTACTTTCCAATTAATATCTTTGGGGCATACTGGGAATTTACTATCTCTGCAGGAGGCAAATCAAGAATAAAAGCTGTTAGCAATTGGCACTGAATGTTTGTGTGTGTTAAAAATCACTCGGAGGACTTTCGTCTTAAGTTCTATACCTAGGTTATTGGCTATGCTGCCAGATTTTTGTAAATGTACAGGAAATTCCCTCCAGTGCAGGGCTGAATGTGGCTCAAAATATAATGGGCGTATTACTATAAGAATGAATCTGCCTTGTTGTTACCAATTGTGTTTCTAGGACATGTCTAGGCAGGAGCTTTTCAATCACAGGTTCTGTGCCTAATCGAAACACACAGAGCTTGCACCCTATGCCTTATATGTAGCAGACTGCTACAACTAAAGTAATATGTAATAAAGTTCCACTTACCCGAGTCTTTTCCCAACGATGCCTTGCAATAACTTCTGGGCTGACATCTTACCCCGAACTTTGCGGTAACTATCAGTAAATATTGCATCTGCATGGCGCTGCATCCTAACAAAACACAGACATTGTGTTTATCTGTGCCTGCCTGGGACACCATGCAAATTATGGCTTTCTCCCTTTACTTGGATGGAGAGAGCAGTCTCACATACATCGTCCCTGAGAACAGGAAGCTTCTCACGCTATTAAAGTGGATTAAGAACTACTCCTGTTGGAGCTATGTGCTTCTTAGCACTGGCAGATTGCTTGAAGGAACTGGGGGTGCAGCACAAAGTGTACTGTGTGTGAGAGTGAGAAACAGCACATAGATTCTGAATGAGGGCACAGATATACTGGTTGCAGCTCCCACTCTTTGACATGGCACAGGCCACATAATACTCTTTCTGCATTTGTAAGAAATCAATCTTTTAGTGTGGCATCGCACAAAATTTGGAAGTACTTTCCTATAGACATCAGGCTGGTGCCTTGGCTGTACTATTTCATGCCTGCAAAAAATGGTTTTGTTTAGCCAAGTCTATCCAAACATGCACAATATTGACACGTATTTTAACTGGGTTTTTAGCTTATTGATTTCAAAGTAGTTTTTAGGTTTTAAATTGTTTTTAACTTCATTGGTTTATTCTTTTTGTAAACAGCTTTGAGGGGTGTGTTTGTTTACAATCAAGATGTATATAAATTTTATGAACTAAATAAACAGGACAGGTTCTTTTCACTGAGCAGTCCATCCGCTGACCTATATCACCCTCCTGAGTGCTGAGATTAGGCAAATTTATTTTGTAGAGCATTCATGTTTGGAGACAATATACCAGTATATACCATTTTCTAGGAAGCGACAGCGTGGGAAAGTTGTCGTATTCATGTCCTGCTTGTGAGCTTGCCAGAAGCTGAGTGGCCACTGCCTGAAATGGGATGCTTGACTAGATGGGCCTTTTCATTTCGAGAGGGGTCTTATATTCTAATTTGCCACTTTTGACTACTGGACGTGGGGTGCTGATATACCCACCTTTTCTCAGCAGGGTCGGTGAGGAAGTTCTCCTCCTCCTGCTCCTCTACTGAGAGGTTGTGGCTTTGCACAGGACCACTTTCTTGCAGTTGAAAGCTCACTGCCTTGCCAGAAATGGGGAGTGGACTATATCTGCAACACATCAAGAGAAAGCAGAAGTAATGCTGAAAAAAACCAAACTGCAATACGCATGTTTCTGATGGCATGGTATATGGAGACGAGAATTGGGAGACAATGGTGGAAGAAGCAAAAAACAACAACCCAGCTATGCATCTGGTTGCACCAGGCAGAGACATTTCTCCTGATATACAAGCTGGTAAGGCTTGTGATACAAATGAAGGCAGCAGTTAAATTGTGGACTGCTGGGCTAGATGAACAAAGACAGCTAGCTCCCTGTGTTCTTAAATGTTTGTAGGGTAGCATATGTATAGCCCTAATCACAGAGAAAAACCTCTGTTTCAAGAATTATATTGGTGGTGTAAGAGAAAACCCAGGCCTTTTTGGAAAATGCAGTGACCACCAAATTCTGATGGCCTGTAATCTTTGAGAAAGATGGATAATAGATTTGTTATGAGCTGCTTTTCAACTATTCTTCACCTGCCCTTTTAGATAGATAGGGCCACTAACTGTGAATGACAAAGGTCAAGTCAAACCCTATGTTTTCGATAGGCAGGAAGGTGAGAGAGAAGATGCGCACCTGAGTGCTGGGTAGAGAGGAGACGAGAGGGAACACATGATGAAATGGAGGAAGAGAAGGAGAACAGCCCTGTCCAGCATTCTTCACTCTTCTGGGGCAATCTGCAAAGATATAGAGGGAGGGAGAGAGAGAGAGAGAGAGAACACTTGGCTTCATTAGAGTAGCATAAGTAGCCTCATGGCAGAATTTTAGTCATAGCCGCTATGAAGTCATTTCCCCCCTGGTAAATCAAGTGGGATTAGTGCTTTAGGCTATGTACTCACAAAATCTTAAAAGCATGTTATTTCCCTCAAAGAATGCTGGGCACCATAGTTTGCCCCTCACAGAGTTACTATTCCAAGCAACCCTTAACAAATAACAGTGCCTAAAATTCTGTGAAGGGGGGAAATGTGCTCTAAATGTGTTTTAAAGTTATTGTGTGTGTATGCAGCCTTAGTTTGGAGTAAATGACCTAAAGGACAGTTGCTGAGCACCAATATTCAGTCTTCCAACCCTTGTGTGACGAAGGGAAAGCCCCATTGCGGAGCCTCTTGTAGCCTCTTGTAGTCAAATACAAGTTCCAAAAGGATGCCTGTTTCAGAAATATGTTGATACAAATCGGACCTGCAACAGGATGCCGCTGTATTGACCCTGCAACAATCAGTGTGGGAACCGAGTATGCTCAGTCCCCCTGAATTGTTTTGCGAGGTTTCACTGCTTTAGGCTCGTGCCCCCCCCAAAAAAATGTTTTATATTTCTGCAAACTTGGCTGATACCTCCCTTTTGTAAATGGTGGTGGTACATAAGCACTTACAGCCAGAACATAAGAAATAGAGGGAGTTGCTGCCACACAAACACAAAAGCATACAGAGCTATTATCTCTCAGTATAGCTGAAAAGCTGCAGACAAGCTGCAGCCTCAAGCTGGATCTCTTGCCTACTGTTCTGGAACTGCCATCACTTCAACTGAGCTAGCTTTCAATAGTAGAGAGGAATAGAAAGGGCAAGAGAGTCCATTTTCAAAATGACTCTTTGCTCCTTTGATCTACAACCCTGTGTAGTCTGGAAACATCCAGCTCGCATGCTTCCAATAGATAAGTGACTCAGGGGAAACAGCCTCACACAATAAAACCATTGTGAGCATTTCAGGGGATGTAACATTTAGATTTTCAGGGCTGTATGGCTGAACTCTTAATAGACTTCTGTTTCTTTCCATTCCAGTTATTTTCGTTCATCGACATTCCCTGTTCAAAAATTATGGTCACATTAATCTTTCTGTGAATGGGTTGGGAGCACCTAATTTTGTACCGGTGAACTTAAGATGGCAGGACCCAATCTGTGCATAAAGTGCCATGAAAACTCTGCTAAGTTTTCAGAAGTAGCAGTAGAAACAGTAACAACACTTTTATTCATCACCATTACTCATCTGTTGGAGGGCAAGGTTTGAGTCTAAGCATCCTGATGTTTCAGAAGGTAAAATAAAGGATTTCAATCTCTCTCTCCCTAAGTGAATGGGGCTGAATTGACAGCCCAACAAGATGTCATTTGAGAAACCGAAGATGCTATGGTAGCTTAAATCCTCTTTCAAAACAAAAGTATTTAATCCTGAAACACAAATTTATTCCTGTTCATTTGTTAGCACTTCTAGAATTGGTGTGAGCCCTAGCAGAATCTAGTTGTAGAGATAATGACGAAATGGTAGGCAGAGGCAGACAAGCAGATAAACTGATTTTACTAAATCAGTATGGTAAGCAATGCAAGCATTGTGAGATTAAGATATGTAAGGCATTCCTTTAGCCTTGTAGTATTTTCAAGGTTAAAAATAATAATGCTGTGCATGTTAGATGAAGACTGAAGTCCTAGACATACTTTCTTGCCAGGAAATCTATTTGAAATCAGTGGAGTTTGCTTCTGAGTAAACTTTGGCTAAGACCTGGCACACACCATCATAACACTTCATACACAAAATAGCTGCCTAAGAATGAAATAAATTCCAAAGGCATAGTTGAAAACATTTTTTTAAAAAGTTTAGCTGCCACATTTTTGCCTACATTTCAAAAGTTTACCCTATTGAAAGTTTTTTGCAGTAAAATGCCATCTCCTCTTGTGCCTTCTATCTCTAATAAACCAGACATCTCTGCAACTCACTTTTCTTTTTGTCCGTAAGCAAATGGGTAGCTAGAACTATATTACTTACCCACTTACTTTCCAGAGACAAAGAATTACAACTAAAATGTAAATGGCAGCTTTAAACAGCAGGTTTCTTTTCTTCCTTTTTTACCAGCACTTAATAAATTCCAACTCATATCCAGAGTACCTGTCTAGTATACGTCCAGATTGCTTTTGCAAATCTTCTGAAATATCCTAGAATTATTTGCGTAGTTGGAGTCCAGTTATGAATATTTAACTCTGTAATTTACAACCCAATCCTATGCATGTTTGCTTTAAAAAACATGCTGTTGAGTACAGTGAGATTTGTTCCTAAGAATGCATGCGCAAGACTGCAATCTTAATCAATATACAAAGCATCCTGCAGACAGGAATAGTTAATTCACTTTTCCACCATGAAGCTTCTATTCATTAACAAACAAAGCGTTAACTTACAGCTCCCTTCAGGAAAATGGTCCTCTCAAGTCTGCAACCTTGTTCTTGGCCTTCTTGCTTGCCTGACAATACTTCCGATTCTTGCTGTGTCCCAGGAAATAGAGAAAATCCTATCCAGCTTTTTCTAACCAGAGTGGCGAGTCTCTAGCTGTTGTGGGTATTGCCACACTCTCTTTTATATATTCACTCCCTCATCAAACCTGCAAGCTTCTGAACGTCAGAGAATCAATTACCTTCCAGTCACTCAAACAGCTGTGTTTAGCATCTTAACTGGGCTTACTAAAAGACAAATTTGCTTTATTAGATAAGCTTTGCATTTCTTTAAAATGGACATTTCAATCTGAATGCCAGCTAGGGTGACTGTTGACAGGTCACCCAAAGAAGGAAAAAGGAGGGTGCAGATTTGCATAAAAAGCACAAATTTGGAAATAATTACTGTACTTTAAAGAGAAAAAAACAATGTGGTGGGAAAGACTTCAAATTGAAGAGGACTGCCCTCTCTAAAGTAGGACACATGGCCACCTTAAGATCAACAATGAGCAAGGGTTAACCATTAATATTACTTCCTGTCTCTCTTGTTAAAAGATTCATGAAATATTCTTATCTTCTCTTTATCAGCATTGCTATCTTCTTATTCATTTTTCACATTTATATACCATCTTTCCCTCCCTGGATCTCAAGGAGGTATACAGAGTTCCCCCCCCCCCCCCCAAAAAAAAAATTCTCCTCTCAACAACCCTGTGAGGTAGGTCAGATAGTAACTGGCCCAAGGTCACCCACTGAGCTTTATTGCTGAGTGGGAATTTGAACCCTGGTCTCCTAGGTCATAGTTCAACACTCAACCTGTTACACCACACTGGTTCTCCTTTATTTATTTACCCCCCCCCCCCGTTGCCTTTGTCGCTCCTACCTGCTGGCATTAGCTGAGTATTTTACACTTTGGTCCTTTGCAAACACCAGCAGCCTTACGCCAGGCAAATAATGCATCTAAAGTTCCTCACTGGGGACAAACCCACAGACAAAACAAAGCTCATGCTCAATAGGTCATACTTAAGAACCAGCAAGGTTTCAACACTGCCAGGCAACCCAATCCATGTCTTCAGGAGGTTGCAATCAAATGTGCTGGTTTGCACCATGTTCAGACAGTGCCCAGCAAGCACCATAGTAACAAATGAGATTGCTTACACTATTGAGTTGCAGCAAGATGTTCAGATCTCCATTCAGATCTGAAGGAGCATCTCCATCCCCGTTGTTCTACCCGGACACTGAGGTCCAGCGCCAAGGGCCTTCTAGCGGTTCCCTCACTGCGAGAAGCCAAGTTACAGGGAACCAGGCAGAGGGCCTTCTTGGTAGTGGCACCTGCCCTGTGGAACGCCCTCCCACCAGATGTCAAAGAGAACAACAACTACCAGACTTTTAGAAGACATCTGAAGGCAGCCCTCTTTAGGGAAGCTTTTAATGTTTGATGCATTACTGTATTTTAATATTTTGTTGGAAGCCGCCCAGAGTGGCTGGGGAAGCCCAGCCAGATGGGAAGGGTATAAATATTATTATTATTATTATTAATTATTATTATTATTATCAGACCTGCCTCAGAGCTTTTTCGGTTTATACTAACTGCTTACATCAACCCAAGCCAGTGCATGGCTTAGTGTTGATAGCATGTGATTCAATCAGAATCCAATCATGCCTTTCAGTGTTCGCTCTTTGTCCCATGTTGCAGCCTAAACTCATGTGAATTGTTCCATTATACTACTATCTGCACCTGGCTTAGCCGTTAGACCAGCCTTCCCCAACCTGGTGCTCTCCAAATGTTTTGGGCTAGAACTCCCATCATCTTTGACCATTGGCCATGCTGGCTAGGGTTGATGGGAATTGTAGCCCAAAACATCTGGAATGCACTAGGTTGAGAGAGGCTGTTAGACCTCGGTTGCTAGAGCTACCTCAGTTTACACCACGAACAGCATTTCACCCAGGGGGCTAAGCAGACAGCAAAACATCAACCAGCCAGTAACAAAGAACAGAATCCAGGAAAACACCTTGTAATCTTCAGATATTGATTTTTTCTTAGACTTGATGCCTTCATTCTCCTGCATTTTTTTTTTAAATGCTTTAAAGAGTTTTAAAAAAAATAAAAATCCTGTGAGCTCCTCTTGCACCTATACACTCCAATAAGCCAATCTGAACATAAAATGCTGGTCGATAATACTTTGCTTCAATCCAGAAGGCTAGCAATATTTTCAGCTCCTCACTTCTTATCTCCAAGCAGCAGCTACAACGAAATCCCCAAATCTCTTCTCAGCTGGAGTTTCCCCCGTCTTCAGCATTCATTCCACATTATCATCTAGTATCCTAGCTTATGCTATTAAAGACTCTTATCATTTATTGTGGTCCTCCTTAACATGGGCAAATAGATTAAAATGGAAATCATATACTCCACAATGTACACATGGTTAAAATATAGACCTTCATGATTTTTACAAGAATGAATTAGGATACATCCAAAACATTCAATTTATTGTAATAGGTTTTAATGAAGAAACTTGCATTTGTTTTTCTTTTTATCTTGTGAACCACTCTGAGATCGTCAGAAAAATGGCAGTATATAAATTTAATATAACAACAACAATTTCTGAATCCTGATTTTACCCTCTACAACCCTTTGTGCATGGTAATAAGATAGGAAATTCATTGAATGTTGAATATGTTATTAAGGTTTGTTTGTTTGTTTGTTTGTTTGTTTGTTTGTTTTCCTATCCTTAGGTCATCTAACTAACTGATTGGCCCTTTGTGTGTGTTTATGAAATTCTTCTGAAGACATGAAATTCAATAAATGTTGAGTGTTTAGTTTTGTTGTTTTGTTTTGTCCTAGCCTTATGTCATTGAGTATCCCACTGACCACTTTCATTGGTGATTCCATTCCAATGAAGATAATCTGCAAATTTTGGTGGTCAAAGCAGCCAGCCTCTGTCAGCACTAGTAAAAGTCGGGTAGTCAGAGACACACCTGATTTCCACTTAAATCCAAGGCTATGGCTATGGGAGAATCAAGACCAGGCTTCTTCAACCTCAGCCCTCCAGATGTTTTGAGACTACAATTCCCATCATTCCTGACCACTGGTCCTGCTAGCTAGGGATCATGGGAGTTGTAGGCCAAAAACATCTGGAGGGCCGAGGTTGAGGAAGCCTGATCAAGACCCTCTTGGGGTGTTATTGCTGTGAAACTCTCCATCACAGATTCAGGTTGTATATATGTGTAAATAAACCGGTATATCATAAAGACACCACAGTCTCTGCTGTGCCTCATTCCAAAGGAAACACGGACTGTGGGTAAGTGCCTGGAACCCTGGGAATCTTGCACCGCTCAGAGACTGGGGTGGCATGCAACAATGTTGTTTAAGCAGCTCCTGGCTGCTTCTCCTAGCCATTGGCACTACTGGAACTGGCCCTTTAATGTTTTCTGTACTGCTTTTGGCCCAAACCCATATACTCTATAGCTATACCCACTCCACTGTTTGTCCTTTTCCTCAGTTTTATCAATCCAATTAGTAAACATGTGTTTTTGCACACACAAAAGGAAATTGCAATTAACATTTAAAAGTTCATCACCCACATCCTGCCTCTTGGCGGAGGTGGGGGGAACTATAAGTGCAGCAGAGGATGAAAAAGTTGGAACTTTTATTTTGAAATGACTCTCCTAATGGGGGGGGGATAGCAGCATATGGGTTGTCATTTCAATAAGGTTCGTGGAACAAAGAGCTGGTCTTAAGCTGCTTTCTAGTTTGAAACAATATCTAAGATTGCCTTTCTCTTGCTCATTTCAAAGCTCAATGGGGTCTGCTGGAAAAAAGGAAATGCAAACATGGTCAGCTGAAGGCATTTTGCAAAAAACAATTCTTGGTGTTTTGAGTGGTGTGGAGAGAGCTTGGAGTATGGAAAGTGAAGGGAAGCAAAGTGGGTTAAAGTGAGCATAAAATGGCAGCTGGGGTGGAATTGGTGCTAATTGACACCATTAGCTGGATGGAACAGGTCTAGGATATTACTAGGCTTAATCACAACCATCCTAGACTTCAGCTTGCTGTGAATTCACTGATCCTCAAATACTCTCCCACATATAAACTATTTGAACACATATCTTAGTATGCTACACTTGCATGGTGTTTTTAAGAGTGAATGATACCAATTCAGGATAAAATGTCTAGTATGGAAGCAGATCGGATTAGTCTGAGTGAGGATGACACACTCAACTCTTACTCAGTACAGTGGTACCTCGGGTTAAAAACTTAATTTATTCCGGAGGTCTGTTCTTAACCTGAAACTGTTCTTAACCTGAAGCACCACTTTAGCTAATGGGGCCTCCTGCTGCTGCCACGCCGCCAGAGCCCGATTTCTGTTCTTATCCTGAAGCAAAGTTCTTAACCTGAAGCACTATTTCTGGGTTAGCGGAGTGTGTAACCTGAAGCATATGCAACCTAAGGTACCACTGTACTATAATATTTTGCATTTTATTTAGTAGGGTAGTTAAATTGTTGTTTTGAATCTTGTCACCTGCCACACATCTCTTTCCTGGCATGGATTGGAAATATAAATGAACGAAACCAGCAAAGGTTTATAGTACTTTAAACACTAACAAAGTGATTTCAGCATAAGCTTTCATGGACCAGAGACCACTTTCTCAAATGAAGGCAGGGAAACCCCAGTGAGCATTTTCTGAAATCTTAAGACCACCACTACTCACCAGCAGATGTCACTGTTTAACAGTTTGTTGGTATTCCACTTGTATCACTATTATTTTACATTTTGCCAATATGTGGCTGAGACAAATGTTGTCACCTTGTTTTTTAGCAATATTTCAAAGTGGCTGTGGGATAGCTGGACCTTCCCAGGAATTTGCATTAGGCACCACATAGCACCAGCGGCAGACTTCAATCCCTGATGCCGCCAGCCTCTTCCCTTTGGCATCCTGTTTCTCCCAGCTGCTCACGGAGAAGTCCTTTTGCAGCAAGGTGATGCCAAGTAATGCTTGCTGCCTCTCTCCCAAACGATTTTCAAAATGGCCCGGTGCACTTCTTGCTAGCTTCCACCACCATTAACATATTGCAATACGACATATATATATATGGGGAAGTGCTCGCACATGGTCTATACGCCACCCTGCCTGCTTGTGCATTGACGCAGCTGTGATAAATCTCGAATCTGTGATAAATCTGTATAGGGGCATGTCGCAGGTACAAAAGCATCACCTAAAAAATATAGAAAATGGCTGGTTCCTGACTTGATTTCAAGGTCAGCTTTGCAGGGGCGCATCCCGCTTTGCTACGTGGGTCGGTTCCTGTTTCCAGGACAAGTGGTTCCCCACCCTTCCCCAATCTTTGCACTTCTAGGTTCGCTAACTGATCGGTTTGTAGATTTAAAACATTTGCACATCGCTAGATATAGATTTCGGGCCAGTGCACCCCCAGGGCAAAGGCAACCTCTGCCCATAAGGTTTGACGGCTAAACAGCTTCAGGTCAAGGGAAAGCATCAGGCGCTGCAGTTCCCGAAAGTTGCACTCTGCACCAGCTCAGAAGCTCTTGGCCTAAGGAGCTAGCATTTTCCCAGTCGAGAAGCGAGCCTGAACCGTGGGACGGGAGGCGCGGCCTCCTTGGCAACGCCTCGCTGGCGGCGGTTGCTAGGGTCGCTGGAACAGGAAGCGCTTCCTAGCGAGATCAGAAGCACTTCCGGGGGCTGAGGCTCGGCTGCAGGTAAGGGATACGCTTTGGTGGGGCAGAAAGAGTAGGGCGAGGCGCCTTAGGGGGCGCCTAGGAGAGCTTTGTGCGGGAATAGGGGGCGGGGGGGGGAGGTTTCCAGCTCCACGCCTGCGGTGAAAGCGGGTGGGGGAGAAAAGAAAAGCTCTTCTGTTTTTAGGCGATGCATGCAACTCGGTGCAAACCGGACACCAAAACTACGTTTGCATTAAATCGCCCTCAGGTGTCATAGAATGGTAGAGTTGGAGGAACCCTGAGGATCATCTAGTTAGCGCAACCCTCTGCAATGCAGGAAATTGCAGTTGTCCCATAGGATCGAACCTGCACCCTTGGCGTTATCAGACTACGCTCTAACCCACTGAGCTATATTATTATTATTATTATTATTATTAATAATAATAATAATTTATTGCTCTAACCCACTGAGCTATGTTGTTGTTGTTGTTTGTTTGTTTATTTCCATCCCTACCTCTTTCTCTTTCCTAACTGCCTTTAAAGTGTCGCTTTCCTTGTCCACAGAATAGCTAGCAATTAGTTTGGTTCTTTCACAGAGGCTGAAAGAGGGGAAGTAGGTCATGATATGTTATTTTATTGGTTCAGCGTTCTTGCTTGCTTTCTTTTTAAAAGTGTACCCTCTGGAAATGGGGAGTGGGTTTAGGACAGTGGAAGCAAACGTGCTGTTGCACCAGGAGGCACAAGCAAGGCATCAAAAATATTTCCCTTGGAGCCTTTCATGGGATCAGTGGGAGCGTTTTCCAAAATGGGGTTTTCAACTTGACAGCTCTGATAGCAAACAAATGTAGCGTTTGAAGTTGGTGGGAAGGAAGTCACACAGATTTTCCTACTCAGACGTTAAAACCATCCTTCTAGCTTAACTTGAAATGAAACTATCCTGCTAGCAGAGAAACATGCACAGGAACATAAGAGGTCCTGTCTTATACCAGGTCAGGCTTTTTGCTCATCGTGCCCAGTATATTCTACTCCCGACTGGCGGCAGCTTCCCAGATTGATTGTATTTCTGTGCCACTTTTCATTCAAATGAATCTCAAAGCCACTTACAAACAATAAATATCAATTAATAAATAATGGTTGTTCTTTTCGTTGCAAAAGCAGAACGGAAATTGTTGAAGGTGGACTTGTGGACTTGTGCAATGGCTGCTGAGCTGGACTTCTCACCCCCTGAAATCCCAGAGCCTACGTTCATGGAGAACATCCTGCACTATGGCCTCTTCTTTGGTGCCATTTTCCAACTCATCTGCGTACTGGCCATTATCCTTCCCATTCCAAAGACACACAAAATGGTAAGGCGTTCTTATCTGCAGAGCGAAAAAGTGAAATTGTTCATTCCGCAGCCTGGTAATTTAAAAAGGATATTGACAAACTGGAAGGTGTCCAGAGGAGGGGGGTGACCAAGATGGTGAGGTCTCTGGAGGTCACGTCATATGCAGAAAGGTTGAAGGAGTTGGGTGTGTTTAAAATAATAATAAATAATAATAATAATTTTATTATTTATACCCCGCCCATCTGGCTGGGCATCCCCAGCCATATTCCAAAAAAATATTAAAATACTGTAATACATCAAACATTAAAAGCTTCCCTAAACAGGGCTGCCTTCAAATGTCTTCTAAAAGTCTGGTAGTTGTTGTTCTCTTTGACATCTGGTCAAAGGTCATCTTTGACATCTGGTCAAAGGCGATTGGAAAGCCATCTTCAGATATTTGAAAGGGTATTGCACAAGATGGTAGAGCAAATATGTTTTTATGTTGCTGCAGAGGAGATCACAAAAAAACTTAAAATTACAAGATCCAGGATTTCGGCTTAGCACTAAGAAAACCTTCCTGATGGCGTGAGACTACCTTGGAAGATATTTTTTTTAAGCAGAGGATGGAGGTCTACCTATTGAGGATGCTATAGCAACATATTTTCTTCACCAGCAAGGAGTAGGACAAATGGCCTTTGAGATCCCCTCCTGTTCTTTGTCCATCCAGTCTCTGATTAAAAATATCTGATTAAGGATTGTCAGTACCTTCTGAGGCTCATTGTCTCACTGTCAAGCAGCTCAAATCAGACTAGCATTTAGTTTAAATTCAGTTTCCTTTTCATTTGAAGACATTGGTTCTGTTCCCACCCTCTGAAGCAATAGAAAACGAATTTTCTCCATCAAATTTGTGACATCCCTTCGAATAGTTGAAAATGGCTACTTTTTGCCTCTTGTCTTTTCTTTAGGTTTTTTAAAAAAGATTTTAAAAGGTTATTGAAAGACTAGTTTGATCTAACAATAATAAGGCTCACAAGGTTTATGGTTAGATTGGAGATTAATACAAATTCCTGGCTGAGTTGGTTGATGCTTACCCAATGCACAGCTGGTGTTGATGGTATTCTGGAGTGTTATTATTATTTACTAAATTTCTATGCTGTACTTTCTTCCAAAGGATCCCAGGGCAGCAAGCAGCAAAGTAATAAAACAGTACAATTAAATTTTTTTTAAAGGTTTAAAACATTAAGACCATCTAAAAACATTTAAAAACAAAACATACCCTCACATCTGATAATTTCAAGGTTACCAGGAACAGTATCTTTCAGCCACCAAATGCCTAGGTAAATAGGAACATTTTAAAATTCCTCCTGAATGTTAATATGGGAGAGAGACACACCTCACCAGGGAAGGAATTCTACAAACGGGGAACCACCACCAAGAAGGCTCTATTGTGGGTAAGTGCTAGCTGGGCAATATCCAGCAGCAGCAGCAGCTCCAACAGGTGCCCTGTGATTGTTTCAGAAGTGACTACTTGATCATTCTCTGATCTACTCAATAGATAAAACTGCAAATGGAAGATTCTGGCTTTGAATATAGTTATTCTAACCAGCCTGGACTTAATTTTGCGGGCCTGGTGACGCTTACAGCTGCATCTGTAACCATTGGCAACCTTTGCCCAAAACAGAAGTTTATGCCTCTTTTTCCAGTCTGCTGATGGTCATCCTTTTCCCTGGTGTCCCTTTGACATGACTCATCTTTTCTGCCTTTCATCTGGTGTTTCATAAATGTAGATATAGTATTACTTTGGGGGAGGGGGGGGTAATATGTCAGAAAACCAGCTGTGGACCATATGTGTGGCAGCATTTGGACTGTTTTTGGGGGGAGGGCTTGGATGGGAACTGTTTCATCTTCTGTAGGTAGCCTAAAAATAAACTTTCCAGTACTTAACAGATGCATCAGCCCACATTTTTCCTGTCTTTGGCCTAGAGAGCTTTCCTCACAGCAAATCAACATATAAAATGGCAAGAGAAGTGTCTACAAAGTGATTGAAATATGTGCCCCGAGCCCCACAGCTTTTACACAGGAATCACCTCTTTTTCCCCATCATCCAGCCCTGCCCCATGCACACCCAAATGATGCACCTGCAGTTTAGCTACATGTATATATTGCTGCATCAGCAGAACACCTGACTGATTCATACATGCTCCTGTAGGTCTGCATCACAAAATGTTCAGGAGCTGGGAGAAATTTGTGGGTTGACCTGAAAGGATTCAGCAGTTTTTTTCCTATACTATACATTTTAGGATGAAAAAGGACACTTTTGCCATCAAGCATTCTAACTAATCTCTAAAACTGTGCAGGCTGGAATGATTTGAGAACAAAAGCTGGAATTCTTGGAGCATCTAACAGAGCTAATGTGGTGCACAAGCCTTGAGGATCACCAGCTTTTACATCCTCTAGATGCAGTGGGTAGCTGAGCTGGTTAGAGCGTAGTGCTGATAACGCCAAGGTTGCAGGTTTGATCCCTGTATGGGCCAGCTGCATATTGATGATTACCCAGTACCTCAGGACAGTTCTATGATTCCAACTCTGCAGTTCTATGATTCTAGATCAGATAAAATGGACCATCGTGTTCAGTATTCTGTACTGGACAGTGATCAGAAACATGAGAGTGATGGTCCCCATTGCCTTTAAAGTATAGTGTCACAACAGTCATTATCTCCAGTATCAGAGGCAGTACACTTTTGAATAGAGGCAGAGGCAGTACACATTTTCTGGGGAACATGAGTGGGTGCTGTTGTGCTAATGGCCAGGTGGTGGGCTTCCCATTGGCCTCTGGCTAGCCACTATGGAGCCAAATGTTGATCTACAGCCCTTTGGTCTGATTCAGCAGGGCTTTTCCTGTGCTCTTTGTGCTTCTTATATGGCTTATGTGGGGGACTCTCATGTTCTGTCCTGCTTTTGTGGGAGGAAACTCTTCACTTTGGAGAGCTTAGAAGTTCACATTCTGCAAAATCTCAGCACCGCCTGATGACTGACACATGCATTGAACATCTTTGTAAAGCTGAAGGTGGGTTCCTTTGGGAGGAAAGGCAACGTATAAATTTAATAAAGAAAAAGAAAGATTGATAAAGCGCATTCATTATAGACCAGGATTGGCTATGGTTCCTTGTTGAGAGTTTGCCATGTGTTTGTTGGAACTAAACCCTACTTTGTTCAATGGGGTGCAGTCTTAGGAGTAGTGCCCAGAGCATTGCATGTGCTGAATGGGTTTTCCTAATTATTTCCAAAAATTGGTATTACTGCGCAATTGTTTTCAATGCGTTCCCTAAGTATGGTTAGTAAATTATTTAATAAATGAGTTTTACCTCCCTAAAATGGCTGGAGAATTGAATAATTGGAGCACTTGAATGAGGGCTGTATTGCAGTGTACATTATGGCGGAACCAGACATAGAACCCTCTGCAATACACTGTTGTATTTATTTCTGATTCAAATTATATTGATTCTGAACAATAAGCTAATAGGCAGGCCTGGATGTTCCTTATTTAGGACACCAACTCTGCCTGCTCCAGTCTGTTTCCTATTGCAGGCAACCTCCATACATGTAGGGGAATCAGCTTTTGAAAAGACTCTTTGGATTGAAGATTAGAAGGCAGCAGTCATCTTCTTGCAGCTGCAATGAACTCGGAGTCCCTGAATAATAAATGCTTCCTTCCCCATTTCCCTAGAGTGTTGAACTCTTTTGGCCAGCTTCCTGTGGGTGAATCACATCCCTTAGGAAGCAAGCCAAGTCTCCCTTCTTGGAATGCCTCATGAGTGTGAATTGCAATAGCTCTGTAACTTGAGAAAGATTCAAGCCAAGCTCATTGATGATAAAGATACTATCAAGCTGTTCTCCTCCCCCTGTCTTGTTTGGACCACTTTCTTAGAAACTGGAAGCTACCACAGATCTCTCTGCCATTTTTCTATGGCCTTTCCCAGTTGGCACACATGGATTTTGAGACACTCTAGAAGCCTAAAACATATTTAAACCAAAGCTTGGTTAATGAGGGGAAGCAGTCTGTGTGTGGTTTCTTCCAGGAGCCTGGCTCTGTTCCCATGCATTTGTGAGATTCTTCTCTATTCTTTATTCTTCTTTTCTTAACAAGAGGATGATATGTTGGTTCCCATAGCAGAAATGTTTTCTGCAATCGTCTCTCCCAGTCAACAGCAAGACAGTTGATCAATGGGTGAAATGTGTTGTTAACAAATTTTCCAGTTCTTTATTTTAATTTGAGATGAATAAATCTGAAATTACTCTCTACAGTTGCCTATCCAGTTTAAATGTTCATTTGCATCTATTTGCTTTGGTGACCTGAATAGCCAGGTTTTGTTTTTTCTATTAAAGATTTGAAATTCCTACGCATTGAAACTTACAGAATTGAGCAGTCCTAAGGACGGACATCTGTGCTCACTTACCATGCTAAAGAACTTGCCAAGCCCAAATCTACATGTTTTATTGCCCTCTGTATGTACAGTATATACAGGAATGATCCTTTTATACATAAACAACATGGAGTCCAGCAGCACCTTAAATATGAACATACTTATAATAGCATGAGTGTTTGTGGACTAGAGTCCAGTTTTTGCTACAATAAACTAACACAGCTGTCCCTCCTGTATTTATCACAGAAAGCCCTTTAGGCATGTGCCGTTAAGCTGGTATTGACAAAATAGCAAAGAAAAGATACTTTGGAGTATTACAGGCATGTGCAAAAAAACAAAATCCACCTAGCTGAGATACTGCTTTTAACCAGAGATTGCCTGCTACCAGTCCTCCTTTTTTCCATAGCTTTTGCCTCCCTGCACCCCATCTCCATACGTGTGTGTGTGTGTGTGTTTCTATGTGTTTCTGTCTGTCTCTCTGGGGCAGCATCCATTTCCATCCTTTTGCGGCACCTCCTTCTCCAGTTCCCTCAAAATCCATAGTGCTAGCATGGTCTTTATTTTCTCTTTTTCTGCATCCTTGGCTGGCTGCTCTCAGTTCACCCTTCCCAGCTCTTTCTTTTCCTACTCACTCAGCTTAAAGAGCTTAGGAGCAAGCATTCCTATTCTGAAAATAAAGGTGTGTTTTTTTCCATACACAGCTCTATTTAGTAATGCTTGTTAGATATTTAGTAATGCTTGTTAGATATTTCTGTTGCCTCGTGTCCCACCATGACAGCCATGGGATATACCAATAAATAACACAAGAGGGGCTCATAACGCTTTTAGTGTGCTGTCACCCTATGAACAAAATCTCTGTTGACTTTATTTCCCTTAACAAACTTTTAACAGGACACCGAAAACTATGAGATAAAAACTTCAGACGTGGTAAAGAAACCCAAAGCTGCCACAGCATCGTTGAGCAAGAAACCCAAGAAAGAAACCAAGAAGAAGCGGTAAAACAGCTTAATGATGAAACTTTCAAGACAGGGTTACTATAGACCATTGAGCTTTCTTCAAGACTACATTGACGAAGTACAACTTAAATGTAACACAGTTTTGGGAAAGCTATGCATATTCTTGTTTCTGGTCAAGAGGAAGTATTTCCTAAAATGGCTTGAAGAGTATTGTTTCATCTGATCTGTTGTAAATACATGTATGGTTTACTGGAGATACCTACGTAGCATGGAAGATCTTAGCAATTACTGGGGCCTGGAGGGAGCAGTTCATCTCTTTTGTGATGCTCAAGATGCGAAATGCAGGTCCCATGAAATGGGTTTTGGCCCCACAAAATGCATTTCTCCATACTTCAAAAAGACAGAGGGATCATTCACTACCCCTCATTTTGTGTGTCATTGATGAAAGGGATCAGCTCCTACAGCTTCTTATTTTGTATGCCATTGATGTGCTTAATATACCTGATTTTATATCCGAATGGGTGTGTTTTCACGTCATTTTTTTTTAAAAAAAGACTGCTGCTAATTATCTCCCTGTGAATATAACTTCCCTTGCATAATTTGTTCCCAGCCAGATTAACTGTCTTCCCTCTACTGTTCGTGCCTAATTACATGAGTAAGTCACCTCTCTCATCCCTGCTTTGAGATGTATTTGAGCACTCTTTTTTTTAGGTTCAGGTGGGCTGAATGAATGGGAACTATAACTCATATGCCGCGAATGATGAGTAGTAGTGAAATCTCGCAGTAGAGGTAACTGTAGGGCAGTTCTAAAATTTCCTCTAATATGCAGGTTTCAGTTCTGTTAAGTAACATGGCCTTCGTCACTCCCTTTGATAGCCATACTGAGTTATGATGACAAGTGTAGCCAAAATGGAGCCACTGAGAAACAAAAGATTGCCTGGGCAGTGTGCTTGGGCAAACCTAGGAAAAAAACTCTAGGTGGGAGGACTCAGACCTCCAAACAACCTGCAGAATGGGGGGAGGGGGAAGCAGGAAGGTGGGGAACAGGCTTCTGGAAGAAAATATGCCCTATACTCCTTGCTGTTGTACACCTCCTCTGTCTATGAGCACACCAACATAGTGGGCTGCTTTATCCTTTTAAAAATGTCATTATCTTAGCTGACGTTTCGTGTATTATATTTTCATCCTGTATCAACCAAAGTTTTTGGGACTGATCTAACCACCTTGAAGCATGTGGGTGGTTGTCAGTTCCATTCTGAATTCAGCACTGAGAAAAGCCTAAAAGAGCAAAATTGACATATGGTGGAACCTTGGTTTTCGAACGTAATCATTTCCGGAAGACCGTTCGACTTCCAAAACGTTCGAAAACCGAGGATCAGTGGGTGGTCAGCAAAATCCATTGAAAAAAAATGGAAAGACATGCAGCGGAAGCCATTCGACTTCCAAGGTGCGTTCAAAAATGGAAGCAATTACTTCCGGATTTTCAGCGTTCGGGTTCCGAATTGTTCATCGATGGAGCCGTTCGTGAATATCGATGGAGCCGTTCGTGAATGTATGAACACTCTGAGGTGCAGTTGATACAAGTCCAGTTAGATGTGGTCCTCATATTTTTGACCACGTTTTGGTTCTCTCGCCAGTAATGTACTTGATGGCTACAAACCTTCTGTATTTATTGTCCCTCTGGGAAGAGGCAACCATTTCCATCTTGTCCACTGTAGGGACTTACTAGGAATTCAGTTGGCTACCCACCCAAAGAGATTAAGGTTGGTTTCTTCTACCTGTGTTTTCTTGTGTATGGGCTTTTCTGAATTGGGTGACAACCTGCTTGAACTTCTCCAGAAAGACTTTGTTATTGTGAATATTAGAACCTCCAGTATTACCTGTTCTGCAGCTTAAAGACTACTTGTAACAAATGAATATCAGAATTTTAGTCTCACTGAAATGGACCATCTGCTGGTGTCATAAAGATAAGTTACCAAAGGTTCCTTCCTGGGTGCTATAAAAGACAGGTCTCTGTTATGGGTCAGTAGCTTTCTGGTATTTTTAGTATTCCTGTCTAGCAGCTTCACGTGAATAACACTCACTGTTGCTGTTCCTGGATAATAAGTGCAGGTGGCCAGTTTTACCATTCTTCATTATTAAATGAGGTCATATCACACGTTGCATCCTTAAAGCCACCTCTCTTCGTAAAACCCAGGCATGGCCAAACTTTGCCCTCCAGCTGTTTTGGGACTACATCTCCCATCATCCCTAGCTAACAGCACCAGTGGTCAGGGATGATAGGAATTGTAGTCCCAAAACAGCTGGAGGGCAAAGTTTGGCCATGCCTGGTAATCTATAAGTACTACAGCATTTTTTTTCTAGTAATAAGAAGCTCTCCTGCAGCCTAAATACTGCAAGACTGATAAGAAATATTCAGGTGAATGGCAGATTTCCCCCATTGACTCCTCATTTTATTGCCCTTGGAAGTTTCTGTGGCAGTTGAGAGAATTAGCATAATCTATATAGAAATCAGAATTGGCTTTTCTTTATTTTCTTTTCTTTTTTTAGGAGTTCTGTCTCCTTACAGTTAATAATGGAAACAATAGAAGGTTCTCATAGGCGCCATTGAATCCAGCTCTCCACACAAAGAACACACAGCCGTATTTATTGCTTTTAGCAAAATGCCTTTGCAAAATGTATGATACAAGCAGTAGGAATGTATTAAAAAGAAAAGGCTTTTTAAAATTATGTCACCAGCATTCATTACCACCACTCCTGCCCAGAACAAAATAGTTCTGTCAGCTAATGTCCTGTGTAGTTAACAGCAATCTTCGTAAAAATACCTTCTCCTTAATTTTCTTCACGGCAATAGCATGGAGGGCTACATACCAGGTCATGTAGTCATGTACAAATCAGCAAAGTGGGGAAAAATTCCATCCAATAGTAAGACAAAATTTTAATTAGAGGCGCAAAAAAAGCTGTTCCTTGGGATGATTAAACATGAGCTGTCATAAAATGTATTGGGTAAGAGCCTCAGGTTCAGTTTAATCCCCAACACTAATACGCTGGAGGGCTGGAATTTACCATCTTCATGTTGCACCTAACTCCTGTCCTCCCATCTTGGAAGAGAATATTAAGACTATACATGCCTGCTCAGACGTAAGTCCCATTAAGTTCAATGGGGCTCACTCTCAGGTAAGTGGGTCTGGGATTGCAGCCTAATTTAAATCCTTTCTCATGGGATGATTTTTCTCCGAGAGGAGGGAGCAATAATTAAAATGCTGCTTGAGCCCAGTTGCGCTGCTGCGTTCCTTCCAACTCATTTTCGCCAGGCCTACTTCGGAGGTTCCCAGAGGATAATGCCCCAGATTCCTGCAGCGAATTCTCTCTCCAGGACTCCCATTTTCTCCCTCTCAGTAATATGCAGGTAGGTTGTGTTGTGTTAACAGAAAACACATTTGCATATTGTAGGGTGAGGGTGGGCTTTCCCCTCCTCCTTTTTCCTCCTTCCCCACCCTCCCTTTGCAACACATCGCCACAAATCAGCAGCTCTTCATTATGACCTAGCTACATTTATTGTCCCTTCGAGTGAAAGTGATTATGTTAACAATGTGCCTTTGTGGGACTCCTGCGCTGGTGGAACAATCCCCTGAGGCCCAGTAATAAGTAGCTCATGACCAAAAAAATCCTGGTGGGCACAGTTCATTTAAATCCCTATTAATCTTATTCAGACCTCATTTACTTTCATTCCAATGCACTCACTCGGATGCAGTGTGGAAGAGGAACGGAAGACGCCTCTGGGCTGCTTTGAAGCAGACAGGTGCCTGCCTTGATTTCTTCTCGACTCGGTATCAGAAATGGATGGCTTCAAGCTGCCTCTCAGCAGGTTCTTTCGAAGCAACATGCCAGAGCTGAAAATGTACATGAAATGAGAATGCCCTGCTGGCACAGGCATATATACGTTCAAATGCAAGGGATTGGGAGTGTCCATTCATTCATTCATTCATTTGATTTATATACCACACCCCTTCCCAAGGTCCCTGAGCAGCTGTCTGGATGCTCTCTGAAAGCAAACCAGGACATAACCCCAACGAGTCGTTTAGGAACATGGGAACACAGAAGATGCCTTATACTGAGCCACAACACTGATCTCTGTAGCTCAATATTTTAACTGGCAGCAGCTCTCCTGGCAGGGTGTCGGACAGGGTCCTCTCAAAGCCCCACCTGGAGATGGTGGGACTTGAACCTGGGAACTTCTTCATGCAAAGTCGATGCTCTACCACTGAGCTACAGGCCTTCCCTGGGACCTGAAAGGGCCACACTTCTTTATTTCCAGAGGTGTTGTTTCAGGTAAGGTTGGGATGCAGGTGGCGCTGTGGGTTAAACCACAGAGCCTAGGACTTGCTGATCAGAAGGTTGGCGGTTCGAATCCCTGCGACGGGGTGAGCTCCCATTGCTCGGTCCCTGCTCCTGCCAACCTAGCAGTTCGAAAGCACGTCAAAGTGCAAGTAGATAAATAGGTACTGCTCCGGCGGGAAGTCAAACGGCATTTCTGTGCACCAGAAGCGGCTTAGTCATGCTGGCCACATGACCCGGAAGCTGTACACCGGCTCCCTCGGCCAATAAAGCGAGATGAGCGCCACAACCCCAGAGTCGGCCACGACTGGACCTAATGGTCAGGGGTCCCTTTACCTTTACCTAAGCTTGGGACAGTTGCATGCAGGGAGGCAAGGTTCAAAGACTTGCTGTTGGATATAGTCAGCGTTAAAATGGAAAACAATTATTTAAGTACAATTGCACCTAGCCTCTTAGCTGTGTATTTTAAGGCAGGGGTGGCCCTCCAGACACTGGGGACTGGTGCCCATAGGGATTGGTAGGGTAGAAAGCCAGTGCCAGAGGCAACTGTAGGTGAGACCAGAGCCAGTGATAGGCAGAGCCAAGGAATTATAGTTTTGTCCCCATCTTCTTCCCAGCCGTGTTGTACATGGGCAAACTTTGAGAATGAGGAGGAGGAAGCTGGCAGATAGTTGTACCTCTTGCACTGGTTGTAAGTTAGACAGCAGGGAGGTGAGGGCTGGCTGAGGAGAGATTGAGGCTGCTGAGGCATTGCCCCATTTCCCCCAGTACACCAGCCTCTACTGCCTCCAGATGCTGCTCAACTGCAACTCTCCAATCATACTTGACCATTGGCCATGTTGACTGAGTCCAACAGCATCTGAGAAGCCACAGGTTAGCAACCCCTGCTTTCAAAAGAGCAGGAGGGAATAGTCCCTCAAACAGTGGCACTTTTCACAGCCGTTGTTTCCATGGGCTGTTGCTTGTGTGTCACACACACACCCCCCCATCTGTGATTTCTCCTTCCTTGGGTATCCTCAACCAGATCATGTTGTTGGGGAGACAACATGGCTGAGGGAAAGCAAAACCAAACTAGAGCAAGGGTGGTGATTCCTGGACTGGTCACATGTGTGGCCGTAAGCAATCAGGAAGGCAGTGCACACCTCAAGCCCACAAAGAAACTCTCCAACCTGAGAAATCCAAGCGATTGCACCTATTTTATTTAGTTATACAGTGGTACCTCAGGTTACATATGCTTCAGGTTACATACACTTCAGGTTACAGCCTCCACTAACCCAGAAATAGTGCTTCAGGTTAAGAACTTTGCTTCAGGATGAGAACAGAAATCGTGCTCTGGCGGCGCGGCAGTAGCAGGAGGCCCCATTAGCTAAAGTGGTGCTTCAGGTTAAGAACAGTTTCAGGTTAAGTACGGACCTCCGGAATGAATTAAGTACTTAACCTGAGGTACCACTGTATATTTAACAAAAGCAATTGGCTGCTTAATCTAATAATCTCTAAAATCTAAGATCTGGTGATAATCTCTACATAAAATACCTGGTTCAGGGAACCTGGGGCCCTCTAGATGAGACCTGGGAAACCTTTGGCCCTCCACATTTTGCTGAACTCCAACCAGTCCTAGCAAGCAAGGTCAATGGCCAGGATTGATGGGAATTGTGGTTCAGCAACATCTGGAGGGCCTAATGGTTCCTCACACGTCCTGTAGATAATGTTGGACTGTAATCCCCCTCATCCCTGACTACTGACCGCACTGCCTGGGGCTGATGGGAGATGTAGTCCATGACCCCAGAATCCCATCCAACTCCCTGATTCTATGAATATCTGGAGGTTTAAAAGTTCCACATCCTTGATACAGCACTTGGGTCTACGTAGCTGAGTGCTCTCTGCAGGATTCGAAGCTTTTTTCTGAAGCTTGCTTGCTGTATCAGGAGGGGGATTTGGGAAGGTGGTAGCAAGGCTAAGCTCTTTCTTTTAAGCCTACTTTCAAATCCCCCAAAAAATCTGAAGAGCCAGCCACAGGTTCCCCATCCCTGACCTAATTCTTGGCATTATGGACACACCTACACTAAAGCCTTTGCTGTTCCTATACTATTTTAATTGACACAGCTTTCACGATATAATTCTGGGGATTCTCATTTGTAGAGGATGCTGAGAATTCACAGAAATCCTTAGCCACTCTTACAGGTCTTAAGTCCATGGAGTTTTCTGCAGAGAATATCCGAAGCACCACTGGAATCTGAATTTTCTATCTAAACCCTTGTCCAATACCCCATGCACAGGATGTCAATGGTATAGGAGCTTTCACATAACCAGCCAGTCTGAAAGACAATACAGCACGCCACATGCACCCTGGGGGCAGAGGGAGACAATATGTGCCAAGCTCTTTTTAGAAAGCCACCACTCCTATTCCTTCCAGTAATTATGCCCATGTCTCCTTAACTGTCCTAGATCTCGTTCACTCGCTTGAGAATGACGTGCTGGGCATTTTGCACAACACTCTGTGTCGGGCTAGATGGCCCAGAGATCACAAGAATGAAAATCTGATGCTGTTGCTCTGTCCTTTTTCTAACTGAAAATCAACCATTTTCCATGGCCTTTGCCCCAGCAAGAGACAGGCATGTGTCCTTCACGTCATCTATGGGCTTTACTTCTGCCCAACTTAAATAGGCTTCCTGTCCTCTTGCCCAACCTGGCAGGAACAAGAGAAAGGTTGCCATGCCGAATGTGTTCCTCCTGCCTCATTGAATCATACCACCCTTAGAAAATTGGGGGCCAGAATTGTCAAAGACTTCTAGACAGGTAAAACACAAGTACTGGCAAACTGTGGGATGCTACCCCCCTTCTCAAAATCCCCCTCCCCTGTCACTTCTTTTTTTAAAATCCTCCTCCAGACACAGCATGTAGACTTCAGGGGGAAAGATCCCATTCACACAAAAGTCATTCCACCACTTGGACCCAGGTGCTATATCAGGGTGGGGGAACTTTGGCTCATCAGAGGCTATTGGACTACATCTCCCATCAACCCCAGCCAGCTTGGCCAATGACAGGGGATGATGGAATTCGTAGTCAATCTCTAGATGGTCACTGGCTTCTCAACCTCGTGCTATATAAATGCAAAGTATTATTATTATCACCAATGTAACGGTTTTAGCATGTAATCATTATCTTTTTTTCAAATTATTTTTATTAGTTTTCCAAATTGTTACAAATCAAACTAAATTACTTTAATTTAATACCATTTCTTTTAAAAAAATTAGATTTCCTGCTCCTGTTGCAAACATATGTCCATCAATTTCTCCTGTAGCCACATCATCTCTTCTTTAATATGCATTTCATCCTTTACTTGTTGTTGTCCATTTTTACAGCAGGCCATTATTTCCTCCTCACAAGTAGCACCTTTGTTATTTCTTATAAATATAAAATCCATTTCACGTGTGTACTCCTTCATAAACCTTGTTGTCTCAGACCTGGTGTGCTGGGAGAGTTGATGATTATCTTCCTTTGTTCGGTTTTTGCAGTGTTTAGAAGATCACACTCCAACTTCCACTGTTCACCAATTGTGTACAGACTGCGGAGCATGCAATCATTATCACCCACCAATGTTTCCTCACTCCCCCAGCTCCCCTTCCTTTATCCTGAGTGTCACCTGTCTTGATCTTGGCCGCAGACATCCATGTGAGATGAAGGATTAGTCAAACTGGAAGAAATATGTCCTGACTCTTTGCCAAGAGACCGAAGGAAACGTCTCACCTTGAGAACCTTCACCTCGAAAACACCTGAAGCGAAGCGTCTCTCATCCTGGAGTGGATTTATAGCCCTGATGAGCAGGGGTGGATTAAGGTCACCCACTCCCCTGGCTGGTCCAGGGCAGTTTTACATTTGATTTATGCACCAGCACACATCCCTTAGTAACATGCTCAGAGAACACAGCTACTGTCAAGAGTGAAATGAGCCTCTTCATGTGAGCGAGTGAAAAAGAGCAATTGTCCATATTGGATTTACAGTATTTAGTTGAGGTTGTTTAAAAAAAAATGTGTGAAATGGCTTTCTGATGCTTCCTGCAGTGCTGGAATTCCTCCCTCTGCAACTTACAGTACCAGTTCAGTTAGGTTAAGGACACAAGAAGAGCTTGCTGGATCAGGCCAATGGCCCATCTAGTCCAGCATCCTGTTCTCACCATGGCCAACCAGATGCCTGTGGGAAACCAGCAAGCAGGATTCAATCATAACAGCACTTTCTCCCTACATGGAAACCACTGTCATAAAGGGAAGGGTATTGGACTACCAGCTTGGAGACCAGCATTCAAATTTCCACTCCGCCATGAAACTGAGTGACCTTGGCCCAGTCATTGCCTTTTGCCCTAACCTACCTCAGAGACAGAGGTGGATTTAGGGGAGCGCAACCAGTTCAGTTGCACGGGACACGGAGCCTCAGGAGCACTGCAGGAGGCACTGCAACTACTATTTAGAATGGAGCATGGGGGGGTGCACCGAATTTTGGTGTTGCACAGGGTGCCGCTGAAATATGAGACCCCAGGGTCTGCCAGCATCAAAGGGTTAGTGTGAGGATAAAATGGAGGTGGGAAAAGAGAATTGTGTATGCCAACTTGACCTCCTGGAAGGAAAGGTGAAATATAAATGTATTTCTGAAATTCTTTTGTAATAAGACATCTACTTTGAGATCTTGTATAGAATGTCCTGGGAGATTGAAGTGTTCTCCTACTGGTTTCTCTGTCTAGTGATTCCTGATATCTTACTGTAATAATAAAGTAAGGAATAATTAAATAAACCCTGAAGTCCAGACACACATTGCTACCCATGGTTATTGAACCAGTGGATATTTTCCTACATGTACATAGATTGGGAAATGTGGCTTCATAACATATTATTGGGGAGTACTTGGCCTGGGAATTTTTAGAAAGCAAAAAAATACTGTGATTTTTAAACA